TGTTTCGTGTTTTGTCAATAAAATCACATTTATCAAATAATACTACAGTTTAGGGAAAAATCTTTTTTTAGCGATTGATAGAGAATTTCAAGCTCTATCGATTGGTATATTTTTTAATTTTTTTTGAGAAAATTTCTTGGTTAGGAAATGCGAATTACTAAAACGCTTAAAAATCGATTTTATCGTGAAAAAAATCATTTTCACTATGAATAACCTATAAAGACAAAGGGAAGAACTGCTTCTAGTACATCATATAGCAGGTCTCTCATACTACTTAGATCACCATTTGAATCAAACGGATACACGTTAATATCAGGAAAAAATTAAAAAACTAAATATGCAGAAAAATGCGAAAAAATGAAATTCGCTTAAACTTTTGTCTTCTACTGTATATCATCGAAAAAAACGTGTGGTAAATACCCACTAAACATACCTAAATACAAATGCAAGAAAAAAACAAATATAAATATGATATTTTTTCTCTTCTTATTTTTTCCTCTTCAAAATTATCTTCGCAAGCCATATATTTTTTATTTCATCACCATTTGTATAATATAAAGTGACGGTGTATAATGATTTGATGTACCTGCTTTCTTCCTATTCTCGACAAAATTTTGACGAAGAAAGAAAAAGAATGTACAAACATTGAATCATTATTTGTTTCATTCAATTTGTTTGCCTTTTTAAAATAAATGTTTCGTAATACGACAAAAAAAACAGTTAATTAAGTTGGAATATTCCGCGTGCGAACGAATTGAAAGAAAAATACAAGGAAAAATCCAACAAAGGATTATGGGTCATATCTTGAGGGTGTGAGTGTGGGTGTGGGTATGACTGTGGAGCAGCGTGCCGAGTTGCCGTTCTTAAGTTTCACCTACACCCACACCCACACCCACACTTACACCCTCAATTCTAAAATACTAAAAGTATTTTTCTTCATTTCATTCTTCTCCAACCAAGTAAAACAGTAAAAAAAATGAGTTAATTTCAAGTGCTTCCCTTCAATATTTTTGTCCTTTCTTTCAAAAACAGAATTCAAAAGTTACGAAATTTTAACGGAGAAAGAATGTTGGTAATTTCTTTTTGGGAACAAAGGAATCAGATTTGATGTTTTGATTCTTTGTCAACATGACGTAACGATATGTAAATAAATGAATGAATGACGTCAATATTTTTTAGCAGAAATCAAACAGAACACATATTATTATAAAATAGTTCTATTGATTTACTTCACCATTGTTTCTGCTTGCACTGTTTACACAGAATCGTTTATTCGAAGATTGCTTTTCTTTGTCAAATTGCATCAAATTATAAGTAAGTTTAAAGTTGAACTAACTGTGTTTGTCTAATTAAACAATGAAGAATTATTCTTCGTTCTATCGAGTACTATTGTATATAATAATTGTAACGAAGTCGAGAATGATGTGCATATTGAAAAAATATTATTGTTTTGCAATAAAAACGTCGGATTCAAATTCACGTGTTGTGTGTGCTACAAAACGTAAAGTGGGTAGCAGCTTGCTTTTGATCAAACTGTCTTCTTTACAGAATGGTTCAGAAAAGCTTACGATTTATGTTGACGATAACAGAATTTTGGTTTGCTTAAAATGAGCTAGACTGTTATTTATAAAGTAAATTATAGGAAACTAGTGAGAATGCTCGACATGGCTCGAAGTAATTTTATATTACCTATTTCGCCTAAGAAAGGACATCCTTATTATTTTCTTCTATTTGCGGATCTCTGATGTTGAAGGGAGAGCTTGACTTACAATCCTCATTCAGTTTTTTAGTTGTCATATTGTAATTTCTTTAAAAAAAGTGTCTATTGTTCTCGATACTTCTGTTTTATGAATATTTTTTGTCTAAAAACGACTTTTCAGTGAAATACCATGTTTTACTGAACAACCTACTTGATACACAACGTTTAGTTAGCTTTTTTGTATTAAAAACCAAAGCTTACAACACGTCACATATAATTGACCATGAGAAAGCAAGGATTCTTTGGATTAATACCAACAATCTTAATATATCTATGTATCTTAGCTTTATTGGTTCATGTGACAACCTGGCGCTCTTGAAACTAAAGATACTTGCGTTCAATAACGTTTCATGAAGAGCTTTAGGTGTTCCCGATATGAGTACATACTTACGTTCGGGCAAAAGCGATAATCAAAAGAAGATAGATAGACTCGATGACGTAGCAAGCTCTTTAAACTTTCGAAAGTTTAGGGGAAACTTCTGTTTGTTTTGACATGGATGAAATTCAACACAACACATTCTATCTTTCTCTCAGATTCCTATTGATAGTGTTAACCACCTCTTGACCTAGTAAAAATACTAGGAAAATTTTGGTACCAATGGCACAGTAACGGTCGCGGCACACTTCCAACCTCAATGGACATCTTTAGGGTATATGTGAAATTTTATCCAAGATGCCTTCTATGACATCTCATTGATGCTATCTATCCCGTTTCGACCTGTCTTAAAACTCAGACAACTACAGTAGAAAGTTCGATCGTGCTACCAAACATACAATTCTCTTTATATGTCAAATACAAAATAAGAAACTTATATTATCAGTGAAGACTGAAAATATCTAGTAATGAATAACTGAGATAACATAACGACAAAAACCTGTTTATTTGAAAATAATATATTATACAAAACTATGACACAACAAATGATGGCGAATTAAAGGATTTAACACATTTAGCGTACTAAATTTGAATGTGTTTCATTGATCAGTGCTTGTAGTTGCAGTATTGAAGCTGAAAAGAATTTTTCATTACTAGTGAGTACAACACCTACCTTAATACTGCAGTTAATTTATATTTTGTCTGAAAAAATAGAGAAAATATTGCCATAAATCTTCTGCAAAAATACTGTCTCATTTGTTTTAGATTCAATTAAAAAACTAAAATCGTGAATTATGTCGAATACTATACAACGGCCCATATCATCCGATGCACTTCGACAAAAAGCACAAAATGATGGTGTTGAACAACGTGTCGAAGTCAATCAGAGAATGTTAATCGACAAAATGCTCGCTCGTTATTCATCTGATTTTGTTGTTTGTCGTGAACTCATTCAAAATTCTGATGATGCTCAAGCCAAATCATTTCATTTTGAAATAACATGTGATACACCTATGAATGCTTCAGATGTTCAACAATCCACGACTGAGCAAACAAACACCAATAATTCAACAGATATTGCTATAAATTTTCATAATTCTACAATCACTGAAATTCGTACAGTAAATAATGGTCTTATATTTAATACGACTGATTGGAAGCGTGTATCAGCTATTGCTGAAGGCAATACTAATGTAGATTCAGTAGGGCAATTTGGTGTTGGTTTCTTTTCTGTTTTTCAATTTTCTGAAGAACCAATAATTACATCTGGCAATGAATATATGACATTTGTTTGGCGAGATGATAATTCATTGACAACATTTCGTCATACACTACCCGTTGAACAACAATCAAAGTTAACTTCAATTATTCTCAAAATGCGTAGTAAATATATTTTACAAACTGAAACAAAAGCAATAGAAAATAAAGAACATAAACATAATATTAAATCAGCGAAAAGAACAAAGAAAGAACCGACTGTAAAAGATATTATACCAACAATCGATCTTACTCAACTCAAAGCATATTTTATAAAAGGTAAAAAAAAAATTAATGTGTTCTTCTTTTTTTATAAATATTTTCTTTTGAATAGTACTTTCATTTACGAAATATGTTGAAGAACTTATTATCAAAATTAATGGTTTTATAATATTTCAAGTAAATAAAGTTAAGAAAGTAATTCCTCCTATTTCTCGTGGATTACCATTCAAAAAACAATCATCAATAAGTAAAATGCTTAGTCTTGAAACATTTGTACAAACTGAACAAACATTTAATATAAAAAATGGTGCATCAATGACTCTAAATCATATAAGTGTTAATGCAAGAGTTATGATCGACGAAGACTTTCATAATCATATTCGACGTATTATGAAGAAAAGTTTGCCTTCAAATATTCAAATTCAACTTTTATTTGCACCAAATAGTGTAAAAAATTGTAGTTTTTTTTTAATATTTACATAATATTATATTCTTTCTTTTCTAGCTAATTGCCAGTCAGCAATCACAGATCTCAATACAAAATAGTGATCATCATACAAAACTTCTCAATTCATTAATTCCATTAAAATTTGAAAATGATAGTATTATTCCATCAGGTTTTGTTTTTATCGGTCTTGGAACGCATCAAACAACAGGTATTGGAATGCATGTTTATAGTCATTTAATACCAACAATTGAACGTGAAAATATTGATTTACAAGATCCATATATTGCTAAATGGAATAAGGAACTTCTCGCATCAACTGGACAAATTTCTCGATTAATCTATGATCAAGCAATGGTTAGCAATTCCAATGCATCTCAGAAAATGATCTATAATTATGAATTTATACTTGGACCATATTCATTTCAAACGTCGGTACCAAATAATGAAATCGGTATGTGTTATTTTATTACTTTTGTAATATTCAACATCTTAGTAAAAAAAGAGTTTGGATGAGTCTTCATTATTGTCCTACTTAAGATTTATATCATAGTGGATTATATAGTACTTAAATATTGATATTGCTTCTGTATTTAATTTCATAGGTGAAACCATTATCGATGGATTTTTCTCTTCTGACAAAGATATTCTTGTGCCTGTGCGGCAAAAGCCCTCTGATGATTATCTTATTGTTTTGCCATCGACAAAAGCTTTTCTAACAAATACAAAACAAATTCATGAATTTCTTTCGCTTCCACTCGTACCATATCAATTAATTACAAATGGTCTCATACAAACTCTGATAAAACGTACTATGATCGATTATGTCGATAAATCTATGGTTGAAAGAACTCTTACTACATCTACTTTATCGATACCTGAATTTGTCAACTTGGTTCAGTGGTTATTTAGTAATGATGTTGCAGATCCACTGTATGCTAAACGTATACTTTCAAATGTTCGTTTTTTTGATCATATTCATTCACTTGTTATCTCATTTGGAAGTATACAGTATTATGATTCGTTAAATATTCCATTATCTATTCCTCTACCAGTTAATAGTTTACCAAGACATGTATCTTCCCTTTTTTCCGTTGAACAACTTGAAAAAAAATTATTATTATTACCATTAAAAATTAAAGATGTGCTCAATATTTATTTTGCTGATAGTCAAGTATATTTATTACAAGATCCGAAAACATCTCCATCTTTACTTAGTGTTATTTCAAGATATTCAGGACAATTGACACAAGAAGATTGGAGTAAAATTAAAACGAAACTATCTAAAATTGAATGTATACCAACAACACAAGGTATGAAAATACCAAGTCAATCATTTATTCCATCATCACTGGTCTCATCAGAATTACCTGCTATTATACTTAACATACCACAAACTGCAACAGATGGTCAAGATAAAATATTGAATGAATCTTCTGAAAATCCCGTTTCAGCTAATTTTCTTAAACAAATTGGCTGTCGCATGTTAGATCTAAATGCATTTGATGATGATGATGAAAATGATCAAACTGTTTCATCGAATTCTCAAGCGACGAAATTATTCGTTCAACATTTGATGAAAGAACGAAAAAATATGAGTGAAGCTGATTTCAATGCATTGAAACAAAAAGAATCTCTGAAAGGTTAGTTCAAATAAGATTTACAAAGCTTATTAGAAAATGTATATGTTTTTTTTAACGAACCTTTCAACAACTAAAAAGATTGAATTTGATTATCAATAGGAAAATCTTTTCTCATATCTTATCTTAGGATTTCTTCAAACACCATCTTGAGGGTGTGGGTGCAGCTTGATGCGATAACAGATCATAAACGCCCGCACCCATACCCACACCCTCAAATTCAAAAGCTCAAGGTTTTGTTGCTAATAGAAACATTCAAATTCGTTCTAAACTCATCTATGAAAACATTGCTTTCAACATTTGGTAAAATTATTTTATGTTTAGGTACGACTTTAGCACCGACGAAAGAAACAACACGAAAATATATTCCAAAAGATCTTCACTTTCCTTCAGTCGCCAGTCGACTTCAGTGGTTTACATTACCAATAATTGATTGGCCCGATATCAATCCACGTTCTGCTGAATATAGTTTTCTGAAAGAAATCGGTGTACGAGAAGTACCTGAATTGGAAAAACTTATCGATAGAATTATTCAGGAACATAATGATATGAAACAAGAAGATAGAACAAAAAGAAAATATAAAATTCCACTTTCACTTGAATTTTTTGTAGAGAATTTTCAACAGTATTATTGCAATTCATGGAAAACAGATAGTGCCAGAAAACGTTGTTTTCTTCCATCACGATTACCTAAGAAGATTAATGATCAGAATAATGATGATAATTATAATTATGATGTTATACTTTCAACACCGGAATATGTATTTGGAGTAGAGAATCCATTGTGTGCTACTCTTATACATGAAGTTATTAAATTATTCGAAAAATCTTTTAATATTGCATTACTTGGTATCAAAGATCATCCAAATCTTTTACAAGCATTTGACATTCTTATGAAAAATAAGGATGAACTTCTAACAATACAATCGGCACCGAAAATATTTGCTTATTTAAACGGACTTGATGGACTTAATCGAACATTTATTGAGAGGATATCCAAACTCGCATTCATACCAATGCAAGGTTAATGAATATTTTAAAATACATGATTTGACTTTTATTGTACTTCTGTATACATTTTAGGAAGTAACATATTGATGAAACCATCTCAAGTCTTTGTTCGTTCAAATGTCACAACTTCACAATCTACAGTGAAAAATTCAGATCCAGAAATTAGTGACATAGTTAGAATTGGTCTCATTGATTATGTTGATTTTGGTTTAGATGCAAATGAATTTCTTCGAAATATTGGTGTTTGCGATCATCCAAAACCCTCAGTTCTGGCTGAACTTCTTATTGATCGTCAGGCTACTTATTTTGCTAGTACCAGAAATAATAAAAATGATTTGAAGAATAAGGTTAAAGTTTATATTGATTGTCTCAAACAACTTGCATCTGCTGCTATGTATTCCCAAGAACTTCAATCCAAATCTTTACAAGAACGACTTCGAACTAATGCATGGTGTCTTGCTTTTGAAAACACTGACGGCGAAATTAATCACAATGATTTTAAAATGAAAATTGTTAAACCAAACGAAGTATATCTTGACGATGATCATTTATGTGCAATGGCATTTCGACCACTTTTGCCTCCTTCTGAACCAGCATTGGTTAAATTATATGAATATTTCGGAGCAAAATGGTTATCTGATTGTGTCAAGCGAACCATGACATTTACAGGTATACTCAAGCTTTACTAACAATTCAGCAACTTTTATAAGTCAATAATCAGAATTATAACGATCTAAAATAAGAGTGTGAGTGAGAGTAGCGTATTTACAGATCAATTCCACCTTCACCCGATGATAAACATTAAAGAAAGATAAACTTGCAGAAATTTCTTAACAAAACATGAGATGTACTTGTATTGGTATTTAATAAAGTTTAGTTAGAATTATGATTTATTGTCTTCGCCAAACTATTGTCTATTTTTCTTTGTGTTCAAGGCAGATCAATTGCTTCTAAGCGTGCTACTGAATTACGAGATTTGATTCAAAATCGACTTCCAATGTTATTTGTCAATAACCGAGTGAGTATCACTTTCGAATATCAGAAGATAATTTCAATTACAATATATATTTTTTCAGGGAGAAAAACTTCCATATCTCAACGAAGTACATGTCGAATTATTGCGTACAAAATTTTCTATCTATGAAGTCGATGAAATTCAATGTCAATTGACATTTAAAGGAAAAAGAATTTTAATAGATGTAAGATTTCTAAGTAATAGTGGTCAAATATTTTGATTTCATTATTAATTTTAGTCTGAAAATAGTAGGTCATGTGTACTTACATATGAAAGCAACAAAGTCACATTGTACTTTGGAAAATATTTGGCGGAATTTGATTATTATGATATTGCCAGTGAGCTTGTTGCATATAGTTTTAGTGAGCCAGCTAATTATATACATGAAATTCGAGATAAACTTGAATCTTCTTTGGAGACACTCAAACGACGAGGAATTCCTGTTGACCGATTGCTCCAAAATACACACAAAGAACGTAAGTTTTCCAAATCAAAGGAGTTAATTAACGAAAATTCTAAATAAAAACATTTTTACAATTTGTTTTTAGCAACTGAAATAATACAATCACAAGAAGAACAACAACCGAAACCGCAACAACCAAAACAGCAACATGGTTTTTTAGAAAATCTATCAGTGTCAGTATTTATGTTTTTGATATTGAATTCTAATAAGAAAAAGTCTTATTGTCTAGAGAACAGCATAATGTAAAAAATTTTTTACTATTCTTTAAGAACGACAGTCCATTAGACTACAGAGAAATCGAAGTACGCAATAAAATTTTGATTTTTGCTTTGATATTATCATTTTGTTCAGTATGATCCAAAACTTTGAAATTTAAATGCTTACAGCGTCTTTGGTTCAGTTGATAAAATCTTAGCTTAATTCAATGAATTTGTTAATACAAATATTAACAAAATAATAATATCAAATCAAAATCTAAATTTTGATCGAATGCTGCAATATCTGACATGATGATCGATAATCACGTGAAAGATCTCTTAAGGTCACTATAATAAATTCGTAAGGTATCTATGCGGTCTTCACAAAGTATTTTGAGAATATATAAATGACTCGAGGGTGTGGGTGCGGATGTGAATATGATGTTAATCTCTTACTCACACCCACACCCACCCTCATTCGTTGAAAATATCATATTATTTTCATAATATCTGCTGAAATGGAGCAGATTTAAATAATAATAGATATCGTTTTTTTTACTTTTTCCAATAATAATTATTTGAATATGACGATTTTATTTTATTTTAAGTGTACTTCCATTTTTGCGTAAACGGAACCGAAATAGTATTTCTATTGTTACTGATAAACATGAGAGTGAAAATCTCAACGAACGTACTACTACCGATACAATTCATGATCATAAAACTAATGCAGCTACAAATTCTTCTGATGTAACTATTAAGTTTACCACTAATCAGAAGAATGAAAACGGTCCAGTCATAGGTGTTGGAGGTAATTATACTGTTCGTAGCCAAAGCAACACAAAGCCAATCACAAATTTCAGACACGCTATAGAGGATGAAGAAAATCTAATGAAGAAAATTCATCAAGGTCAGTCGTATAATCGTTCAAGATTTGTTCAATCTGAATGTACAAAAACAGAGATTTGTACGATGTGTGGATACTATCCTGCGGCAAACATGATACGTTTCCCAGATGTATTGCATTCAATTCCGCTCTATGTTGAAAAAGATGTTTCTGTTTCAAAGACAATGATCGATCAAGCAAAACAACTTGCTTATCTTCTCAATGGTCTTGCTACTAATGTTTTTAAGATTTCGATTAAAACAGTACATCTTTTTAGAGATATTAACGGACGTAACTATCAAAATATAAACATTCTATTATTTACTATTGAATATTTTTATTGTTTAGCTTACATTGCATTTAATCAAAGTGGAGCAATTTTCTTCAATCTCCGTTATTTTGAAGATGTTTATGCCGATGAACTGAAGCCTCATCTTCGAACATCAACATCATCTTCTATTATATACACCGTTGTGAATTTTTATTTTTTGGTATTTTGTCATGAATTAGCACACAATATTGCAAAACAACATGACGACTATTTTGTTAGTTGGCTTGAAAAAATTGTCCTAAAATTTATGACTGAGAAAGATTTCTTTCTTCAAAAATTTTCATTTGAAAATTATTAAGACAACATGTGTTTACTTTTATATACTTTTCTTGTTCTTTTTCTTATTAATATCAAAATAAACTTGAATTCTAATTTAGCTGTTTTGTTAAAAAAATATTGAAGACTATGGAATTTTCAAAAAGTTGACGCAGAATATCTCAGACATGGATTTGACCATCTTGAGAATGTGGATGAGTTTGATGTATAAGTGTGCTACTATCTTGAGGGTGTGGGTGTGGGTGAGGGTGTGGGTGGGTGTGGGTGTGGGTGTGGGTGTGGGTGTGGGTGGGTGTGGGTGTGGGTGTGGGTGTGAGTGTGGGTGGGTGTGGATGTGTATTCTTCTCATTCATTACCCACACCTTCAAGATGGTTTTAACAGACAATTGTTTTTACATTTTTCTCAAAATATCAATAAAACTCTATTCCTTTGTTTTTTCTTACTCTTGAGGGTGTGGTGGGTGTGAATAATGAATAACCCCATACCCATGACATTATTGTCAAGAGATTTAAAACGATCTGTAAAATAAAGATCTCTACTCGTACTAGTTATAACAAAACTTCTGAGATTGCGGAACGTGGTACTTGTGATATATTGAAACTAACAAAGTGATACATCAGCTTTGTATAGATGAAATTATTATTTGGCTATCTGATGATACGGGTCTCAAGCTAATGAAATTATTCTATGAGATCAAATAATGAGTTGTTACGAATGAAAAACTTGAGAATATTGATAAACTGAAAAGATTCTAAGACAAAGAATGAACTAAAACTCATGTATAATCTATAAGTTATTTAATCGCTTCTAAGGAAATAAGATTGTTGTCCAATATAAACTTAGAAAAAGAGAACTGAACATTTATTTTTTTCGATGTCTTCACCAAAGTTATCAAATTTAATTCAATTTTGATGAAAAAAACTAAAAACATTTTTCTTCTATTTCTCTTTTTTTATTTAACAAAAAAACATTTTTTTTATCAAAAATATAAACATTTAAAAAAAAATTGTTTTAAATTTTTGAACTTGGTTTTTTAAACCATCCGAAACATTAGGACTTCCTTCTTCGTCGGAACATAAGCTTGATGGTTTCATGAATTGATCGGATCCATATCCTTCACCATATACCTAGGTCGATGATTCCGAGCACCGCCTTCCGCGCTGTACAAGGCATGAAACGGCTGTAAACGAATGCAGTTTCCCGTCGTTTAACACCGTAATTCGTAAACCCAAAACTGTATTATGTAGTTTTGCTGGAATAGAAACGGCGCCGTTTCAGGTCGTTTACGGTGAATAACGATGAACCGTATCAATGCCGCTTGTTATTCATCCTTTACAACGAAATGTTTCTTCTTCTGCATTGTATGTAAAACATGTATTGTAGCTTTCCATCTACATTGCCATGTTGTTTTAATGAAAGTTTATAATAGAAATGAATATATATTTATCTATTTTCTTAGATATAAACTTAAGAAAGTGTGTGTATGAAAACACGTGTGTGTGGCTAGTCGGTTCTGTACACACCGAACACCGTTTCCGACGTCGTGTAAGGCAGAAAACGGGCGTTAGGGAATGTCGTTTCCCGTCGTTTACACCGTAATCCGTAAACCCAAACTGTATTACGTAGGTTTGCTGGAATGGAAACGGCGCCGTTTTAGGTTGTTTACGGTGAATAACGATGAACCATATCGATGCCGCTTGTTATTTATCCTTCGCAACGAAATGTTGTTTCGTCTTTATTACATATAAAACATGTTTTGTTGCTTGCTGTCGCTATGTGTTTGGATAGACGTTAACAGTTTAAATGAATATCTGTTTATCTATTTTTTTCGATATAAACTGAAGAAAGTGTCTATGTACACACAAGTGTATGTAGCTGAATAACTATTTACTTAGATAGGTATAACCATTTTACTAATAATTATGAAATCATACTATTATCTTATATATATATTTCTCTATTAAGATAAACTAAATGTTTTATCTTTTCGATAATTTCATTTAATTCTGTCGTGCACGTGGTATGTTAAAATGAAACTCGTAATGTAATTGAATCGATTCTTGGTTTGGTCTTGCAAGACCTTCTTCTATTTATCTTCGAATAGAGTCACTACCCAGGACGATGGTTCCTGAAGCAGGATTTCATAAATTTCCGGTGAAATCTCCGGAGTACCACGGAACCGGCCGTTTCCGTGTCGGATTGTTCGACCTGAGTATAAGGTCATTTCTATTCAAATTTGAATCTCTAAATGAGATTCCATCATCTATTAATATACATTTAATTTGGTCTATAATAAAATGTAGTTTATTATATATTTAACATAAAGAACAAAAAAAGCATCTAACTAGTAATTAATATCTAAAGATAGATAGACAATATAAAATATGAAATAGTTTGACATCTAAGAACACTTTTTATTATCACTATTACGATTATTCTCCGAATTATTGATTAATATTTGAGATGATTTTCGTAAAGTACGTGATGTAACAGACTGACGTGATGAGGCGCCATCATTTCCCTCCACTTCATCGTGATCTTGTAATAATTCAAGACTTTTTATATATCGACGTGAAAAAACATCTAAATAACACAAGAAATAAATTAATTATACGTATATATATATAATCGTACCAATATAAAAAGAAGCGCCATTATAAACACTAACAGCAAAGATTGAACAAAGAAAAATCACATTTACATACCTAAATAAAGACATTCACAATAAATGTAAATATATTATTTATTTCTACTTACATATTTCGATAATACCATAAACAAACGGGTAAAATTGATAGAAGCATATATCCAAATTGCAAAAAGAAATAAAATACAACTTTATATCGATTTATTCCATCATTAGGTCCACCAAAACCAAACTTTTGTATAAGACGTGAAACAAAACCATTCTTGTCAGCTAATAACCATGTATACGATGTTGCTCTTAACCCTCGTGCAACTTTATCACGACGTCCATAAACAATGAATGCATAATAGAGCAATTGCCAAATTAAATAAAAAATAATTGTATAAAAAATAGCGGTTTTTGTATGAAGTGATGAACCAATATGAACAATAGCTGGATAACGTTCACGTTGAAGTTCAATTGGCAAAAGCCATCGAAGAGTAAATAATGTTAATGGTGGATACCTACAAATAAAATCAAGAGAAAAAATCTTAATAAAAATTAAGCCATTAAATTTACATATGAATAAACAAACTGGTAACTTTGTCAAGACCTATTCAAAAAGAAACAAAACTCTCAATCGATAACACATGCATTTATCGTAGAAAAAAAATCATACTGTGAAAAACAAGTGAATTTCTCCAAAGAACTATTGCAAAAGCTAATGGGCCATGACTTAATGTATAACACACAGTAAAAAGAATTTTCGATGATGGAAATACCCATAAATAAAGTAATGTTAAAACATTAACAAAATAACATAAATCATATACTAGAAGAAAAAAAAATTTTCTCAAAATAAAAATAATAAATATTTCTCATACCAAAATAATGCCAACTTTTACGTTTATATATAAGAAATCGAAGTGTTATAAGAAATAAAGCTTGATATGTATAAACAAGTGGTAAAATATGAGGCCAACGTCCAGCTATTTTAATTAAACAATAATTTAAAAAATAAAAGAATAATTTATTTTCCTATACCAATCAATGGTGAAAAACAAGCATTTGCAACTCCAACTGTAAATGATATTTTATCTCGTGTACGAATAAAATTTGGTTTTTTAAGATTTTCAGACCATACTTGAATACGTTGTTGTAATTGAGTTTTAAGAAGACGTTTCTGTGCTTCAAGGTCATCTATAGTTCTTCGTAAACGTTGTCGAGAATCTTCACGTCGATCTTCAACTATCGAACAAAAAGAATAATTCATTATTGTTTTTATTTTTTTTATTTTTACTTTGAGTTGTAATATTATCAATTTTATCGGAAACAGCTTCCAAAAAATCATAAAAATCAAGTTCTTCTTCTTCATTAAGATTTTCATCGCTACTATTTTCTCCTGTATTTATTGTATTCGAAGAATCTTTTCTTGATTCATCATCACTTATGTTAGTTTCATCTTTTAAATTATTCTCTTCTGTCATATCTACAAAAAAAAATAATTCTCTATTTAAAAAAATAAATATCTATATATCATATATCTGAATAAATCTCATATGTCATTATCATCAAGATCGACAAAACCTACACACATAGTATTCTGTCCAATTAATGCAATACTTGGTATTGAATTATTATTATTATCATTCCATTTAATTTCATCTATATTATGTTTTGAAGATTCATAAGGTAAATTAATACAAGAAGCACCTTGAGATGACCAAATATATAAACGATTATTATGTGTACATAAAGCTAAATGATCACGTTTTGGTTCCCATTTAATACATCGTATCGGTTGAATATGAATAAGTACAAAAGCTAGATGAAATGTTGGTTTAAAATCAAATATAAATAAAAGATTTGGCATTGTATCAATAATTGTTGATACATATTGACCTGAATTAGAAAATTCAATTGATGAAACACCTAATCGAGGATGAGCACGATCAAGATCAGGTTTTATTGGAGCAATTTGAAGTGTACCATTATATATTATATATTTTGATTCAATCGAACTTTTTGATACAGCAGCTGATGTATAATTAGAAGATGAATAGAATTTACGTTGACTAAAATATGAAATAAAAAAAATTTATTAGATAAATATATCTCTAAAAACAAATTACCCATTCTCATTTGTTTCTTTATTATCATCAACATTATATTCTTCTTCTTTGAGAATAGTATAACCTTTTCCTGATGATAATCTTTGTGGATGTTGAAAAGGTTCACGAATTTTTTTATATGTTAAATAACTAAATATTGTTAAATGTTCATCATAATCTCCAACAACAAGAACTTGTCCAGTTGGCGACCAACGTGCACAACGTATACCTAATGAAAAACGATCATTTTCTGGTTTATATATATTTAATAATTGTCCATCAAGTGTATAAAAACCAATTTTATATTCATAACAATTTTCCCATAAACATAAAATATCACTATTTGGTGACCATTCAATACCTTGTAGATCTTCAAATTCATTTGGTTGAAAATGTCCAATCATAGACCAATTTGATGAATAATCAAATATTGATATATGATCTGTACTATCATTTCGACGTTCAACTAATGCCATATATGATTTTGATAAATTAAATATATATGAATTTGGTGAAAGTTTTTTTGGATATTTAATATATGAAACATTTTTTGATGTTAATGACCAAACAGTAATACGTAAATAAAATTGTGCTGTTGTTAATATATGTCGAGAATCTGGTGCCCAATGTACATGACAAAGTCCAGCTGAACCTTCATCAATTTTACATTTCCATTCTGGATTATCTAATGAAAATATTTGTATAGCAGCACGTTTAATTAAACCAGCTAATATAAAACGTGAATCATATGACCATTCAATAGTATCGATTGTATCAATACAAGGAAATAAATTAATTATTTCTAATGTTGTTGATGAACGAATAATTAAACGATATTGATTAACACATGCTAAATATTGATTATCAGGTGAAAATGAACATTGACGTGATGTTACCTGAAATAATTCTGTGAAATTCATCTAGAAATAAAATAGATTTTTTCGTTTTTTATGTCCACCAAAAATTAACAGAAAAACTAGGTAAAAGCGAACGAACATAATGCCAATGACGAGCAGGCATATAAAGCATTTCACCTGGTTGAAGTATAAATTCTAAATATGGAACATCTTTAAATAGAGGAAATCGTTCATAATCAGGATTTTCAACGTCAATCTAATCGAAACAATAAATAATATTTCAAAGATTTTTTTGTTTTGTTTTATTCATTACCGAACTTGTATTATTTAACATAGTTGAACCAAGTGCATATAATCTCGATGAATGAATCGGATCATATAATCGAATATATTTTTCTCCAACAACCTACAAAAAGATATAGTTAAGATTCTTTTCTTTTTGGTTTTAATTTACTTGAGCAAGAAGATTTTGTTTTGGATCATTATGCAACGGTGATATTGTTTGTTTTGGACCAATCCATCTATAAAGAAACAAATAATATTTCTCTCCTCTTTTTTTAAAAGATGAACATACGCATTGAGATCAACTTCTTCATCTTCATTGTCAGTAGAACTAATATAACAATAATCAGGTATACAAATATCTTTTTTTAAATCAGGAATCTACAACAAAATAATAAAGATATTTTTTGTTTGATAATACACATATATTTCTTTTTACTTGATCTAATAAAGGATGTTGTGCTAGATAACCGCATCTTGATGACTGAAAAAATGAATATTATTCAAGTATATATATTGATAAATAAATCAGAGATGGGCAACTCTGACTCGGAGTTGGAGTTAACTCCGGAGTTGACGCTTTAACTCCTTGGAGTTGAAGTGGAGTTAGATCAAAATTTTGAAAAACTCGGTGGAGCTGGAGTGGAGTTAATGACTGTTTGGAGTGGAGTTGGAGCGGAGTTGGAGCAGAATTTTGAAAAAAATGGGTGGAGTTGGAGTGGAGTTGGAGTGGAGTTGGAGTGGAGTTGGAGCGGAGTTGGAGTTGAGTTTTGCAAAAATGGGTGGAGTTGGAGTAGAGTTGGTTTTCGTGATTTTTTCTAACTCCGATCTAACTCCTGTTGACTTAATTTGTTGAAATAAAGATCTCAAAGTTTTACAGACAAAACATAAATTGATAATCATATTTTTACTTATTGGTTTCAAATAAAAATATTTCCTGATAAATCTGTATTTTTTTACAATCGTATTGATAAAAAATCTACCTATTAAATCGGAGTGGAGTTAGAAAGAGTTGGAGTTGGAGTGGTGTACCCCCGGAGTTGCCCATCTCTGAAACAAATACATACTCTTTGTCTACAATACTGATTAACAAAATCTGCTATTGTCATTAGTTTTTGTGTCCAATCATCATCAGAATAACGACTACCTAATTCAATCGGTACTGTTCGATCACCAGCTAATTTAATTAGATAATCAAAACTAAATAAAACAGATAAAATTATAGACAAAAACACAAGTAACGCTCGTCCGATGACTCCCACAATGAAATACCTCCATTTTCTCATTGCTGGCCAATGATCTATGCATCCAGTGAGAATAACAGGTTTTTTCTTTTGTATATAACATGTCAGAAATTGTTCAATTGATGGACAATAAATACGTTCAATTGCTTTTGTTAGATCAAGTATTGGAATTGGCATCCAATTGAAATTATCATCATTATCAAGACGAATTCGTTTTGGTGAATGAATATCAATATCTTTATCTTGATTATTATTAAAATTTTGATTAATTATAGAAATAAGTTCATTGAATTGTTTTTCCAGGATTGGTCCACCAAGTAAAATACCTAAATCACATTTTTTTATAATTTCCTACTGAAAAGAAAATAAGATATTAAATATATTGATATTTATAAAATACATTTACTTGATATTGATCATTTTGTATTAATATTCTACAATCAACAAGTACATCAAAATAACAAGCATAGGCATATAAATATCGATATACATCTTTAACATCTTGCCATATGCCTGTATTTAATTTTTCCCATGAATATTCCAAAAGAATTTTTAAATAAAGTTTACTTTTATCAATTTCTTTATTATTAACTAATAGATTTCGAACTATTTCTAAATAATTCAATAAATAAGAATCAATTTGTTCGTCATTTTTTGTAAAATGTTCATAAAAAACATTTAAATGAATATCTTCAATAGATTGTTGAATTATGTCATTAAAATTCATCTATAAAAGTAAGGAATTTATTTTTTTTATAAATATCAAGTGTAATAAAAGAGAATAAAGCAAGTTTTTTTCTAGATATTTTTCTATTTTGTTTAACTAAAAGAAAAAAGAATTTCGCTGGATTGAAAAAATAAAGAAATGAATAATAAATTAAATGTTTTTAGGTTTTGTTGTTGTTGTTGAAGGTTCTTGTTTAGTTTTTGCTTCCATTTCTTCTTTCTTTTCTTTTTCTTCAACGATATGTTCTTTTCGTACCAGATCAATGATTTCTTTTAAATGTTTTTTCGATATTTTAACTTTTTCATTTTCAATTATTTCAAGTGCTTTTAAGATTTCATCAGCTTCAATTATACCATCTTTATTATGATCAAATTGATTGATGATATCCCAAATTTGTGAATCAACATTTGTATTGGAAACCTTTTGAATCTTTCGAATAGTATTAACTAATTCTTGTGTTGTTACAAGAATTTCTCTATAATAAAAAAAAATATTTAATTATGAGAATAATAAAGATTAAAAAACCAACTTCTTTTCTGTAAGAAAATCTTTATGTTCTTGTATTTGATCGGATTTCGTTCCTACTGCATCTTCTTTTGTCTAAATAAAATAAATTATCTTCTATAATATCAATAATTCAACTAACTTTAATATCTTTTTGAATTGTTTCTTGTTTTTTATCAAGTGTTTGAACAATTTGATCGAGATCACCAACAAGTTTATCAATACGTTTTGAAAGTGCTTTAGCAGAACGTGTTTCACTTAAATGTTTAAGATGTTTTGTTGCAGCTAATGTTTCAAATTCCTTAACATCGTCTTTATATTCTTTAACATCATCTTTAAGTTCTTTAATATCTTCAACAGTTGAATGAACTTCTTGTGCTTTCTGTTGAACAAGTTGTTCAAGTGCTATTTCAAATTGTCCAACATCAATATGTTGATCATCTTTCTTATCTTCTTTTTTACTATCGCTAAGAATTGGTGCTTTATCAACAAGAATTTCTTTGATAGGTATATCCGATGGTATTGTTGGAGTAACAACTTTTTCAGTTTCTTTTTTCTTTTTAATTTCTTCTTCAGATAATTGTTTATCTTTTTCTTCTTTTTCTTTTCTAATAGCTTCATCTTCACGTTTAATAGCTTCAATACGTTGTGTATTATCAACACGTTCACCACTAACTTCAGCAATTTTAACAGCTGTTACACTATCAATTGCTTTTGGTAAGGATTGAATAGCTGCTTTAAGTACATCTTCTTGTGGAATATTTTCTGGTAAATAAAGTGCACGTGATACAAGTAAAATTGTTGATGGAATACGTTGATTAAGATGAAGATCAAGCCATTGTTGTAATTGTGAACGTAAACGTTCAATACTAACACCAAGTGAACGCATACCACGATCACGACATGCAGCTTGCAATTCATCAACAGTGAGATTGTCAATACCTTCATCTTGAATTAGTTTATCATCAGCTTCTAAATTACGTAATTTTAAATGTAATGTAAAACGTAAATAATAATCAGGACCAATGGTTGATATACCAAGAAGTTTACATAAACCAACTAATTGCGGACGATCAAGACTATCTAATGTTAATTTATTTTCAAATAATGCTGAAAATTTCATTATCTCTTCAGTTGAAGGATGAGCACCTGTTGAACGAATCTAAATAGAAAAAAAATATTCATAATTTAATCTGTAGTAGAATTTTTTTCCCTCTCATTAGAATTGAAAATACCTTATGCATAAATTCCGCAAATTGTGCTGTTAATGTTTCATCCGAACGTTTCTTTGTCGATTTTAATGCTGTATCTTCTAATGTATCTTGTAAAAATTTAGCTACTTCTAATTTTGCTTTTAATTGTTTTTTTAATTTTTCGTTCTAAAAATAAAAGAATTTATGAATATATATATATATTAGAATAAATATTTACTTCTTTATCCGCTTCTTTAAATGTACTAGGTAACATATTAGGAAAAAGTTTTAAAAATATTGGTAATGTAAATTCCATAAATGGCACAATGATAAAAACAGAAAATGGTACAAGTCGAAATAAATCAGCAGCTGTACGTGTAAACTAAATGAAAATTATATTTTATTAAAATAAAATGTATAGATGACTCTTCATTTTTTGTTTCTTACTTGTTTTCGTTCTCGTCGTGTTAATGTACCACCATTTAAAACTTGTCTTAAAAGACGAAATGCTATTTTAGTTTCAATAAATAATAATTTAAAACCATTATAATAATGTTTTAATTCATGAATAATTCGTTCCCCAAGTGATTTACGTTTAGCGACTGCTTGATCAGCTGCTGATGTAGTAGCAGGAGTAGTCGTAGAAACTGTGGTACCAGTAGTAACAATCGGAATGGGTGTTGTACCTGCTGTTGTTGGCTTGACTTTTTCTCCTTCGACTTTATCTTTTAATAAATCTACTGTTTTTTCTAATTTAGATTTATCATCGAAAAGTATCGATGATGAATGAAATGACCGGATATGTATCGATGACAATAATTGCAAACGATTAGCGTCAATCGATGGAATACGTTGACCATGATAATAATAATAAGGATGTGGTTTTAAGGCAAGAATAGTTGTTTTTCTACCTATAGCCGAAATTGGCAAAAGTCGATTGCTAATTCGAATAATACTCATTCTATGGATTTAATCCAATAATATTAATACATATTTAAAAAAAGAAAACTAATCTAAAAATAAATTTCATTGTTTTAAAAAAAATTCCTTTAATTTTTTTTGACAAAAGTCAATCATATTTTTATCAAAAATAAGATTACATGTTTGTAACATAAAATCATAGATTTCTTGTTTTGTTAAATTAAATGTTTGTACTAAATCAAATATTTCTGATGATAAACAACAATTCATTAAACCACTATCATCTGTACATATTGCTAATGGATGTTTATTTTTATAAAATAAATTAAAATGATGTTCAGTTAAATTTGTTAATTTCATCGTTAATAAATTAGATGTAGGACATAATTCAAGTGGAATTTTTTCTTTTATAACACGTTGTTCTTGCTCATTTGTACGAAAATTAAAATGACCAAGACGTGTTGGTTTATAATTAATTATTAAATTATTTTCATTTAAACATTCTTCATCAGGTAATTCACCGATATGTATTGTTGTTGATAAATTTCTATCTTTTGCTAAATTAAATACAGGAAGAAAACGTTCAAATGATTTTATATTTGGATCACCAGATAAATCTAAACCAACAACATATGTACGATATTTTTCAGCTAGTTTTAATGTTTCCATAGCTTGTTCTAATGTTTGTGTTCTATCAATACTTAATATTAAACGTGAACAAATTTTTTCTTCATATTCTCTTATTATTTCAATAATTGCTTCAATATAATTTGATGATGGAATTTTTCCATTATCAAAAGAACGTGGGCGTGTTCGAAGTTCAACATACATAACATTATCATCAATAAAATCTTCTAATGTTTCACGTGTAATACGACGAATATCATCTAAATTTGTAACACATGAACGAAGTAAAGCAAATTTTTCGAAAACATTCGCCATTCTTGAATGTGTATCACCGGAAGAAAAATTCTTATCAAGTGTATCAAGACGTATTTGATCATCAGATGATGTAAGTAGTTGACGAAATGTTGATGAGCGAATACATCCATTTAAATGTGCATGAAGTTCAATTTTTGGTATTGATTGACAAAAATAACGTAGATCAGCCATTGTTTATAATAAAAATTCGAAAATAATAATAATAACTAGGACAATTTAATAGTATGATTTATACATACGATAGAAGCGCTACTTTCCAATGATTAAAAATATTTGTAGGTAGCGCTAATAATCCATGCATATATTTTTATGGATGGAGCTGCTTTCTTTATAATAATAATAGCGACAAGATAAAAAAAATCCCGACTGAATCTAATAATTGGGTTATTAATTAAATAATGAAATTATTTTTTCTACAGGTTAATTTCTATATATGTTTACATAAGTCATATCATTGAAATATAAATATTTTTCTTTTTCCATTTATTCTATTAATAGTATCATCTACCTGACATAGTTGAAAAATCAAGAAAATGTATCTCACGTTTTTCTTATATTTCGCAGTTTTTTATCAATCATCAATAGGATTTTCGACTAATTTTGGTAGGTTAATTTTAAATGTATTTATTCATGACTCTCTATATATTTTTAGGTCGATATGATTTATCGGCTAAAAATAGTGCTGATGATATAACACGTTTTTTTGTCGTTGGTGATTGGGGTGGTTTACCATTTTTACCCTATGAAACACCATCTGAAAATGCTGTAGCAAAAGCTATGGGTAAATTAGGTACAGAATTAAACACTAGTTTTCAATTGGCATTGGGAGATAATTTTTATTTTGATGGTGTTCGATCAGCTAATGATCCACGATTTGAAGTAAAAATATATTCTTATACTTGATATAGTAGATTATTATTCGATTATTTTTAGCATACATTTGAACATGTATTTTCAGCAACTTCATTACAAACTCCATGGTATGTTTTAGCTGGTAATCATGATCATTTAGGTAATGTTTCAGCACAAATTCAATATGGTAAAACATCGAAACGATGGTAAATAATTAATAAAAGATTTTTATTTAATTAAAAAATAATAAATATAGGATATTTCCGGATTATTTTTATACATTTTCACTTTGGCAAAGTGATAAACAAAAGAAAATAATTGATTTCATTATGATTGATACTGTTATACTTTGTGGTGGTACAAATTTATCAGATTGGGAACATGCTCCATTGGAGGGACCTGAAAAACCACATGTAGCTGAAATTTATTGGCAATGGATTGAAGAACAACTTCAACAATCGACGTATGTCATCTATAGAAAAATTATATATATTTAACTAATATAATCTTGTAGTGCTCCATATTTAATTGTCAGTGGTCATTATCCAATATATTCAGTTGCTGAACATGGTCCAACACAATGTCTTCTTGATCGTCTTCGACCATTACTTCATCAATATAAAGCAACAACTTATCTTTGTGGACATGATCATAATCTTCAAGTAAATAGTTTTGATATATTTATTGATCTTTTAAAATAACTGCAATCTTTTTTAGCATTTAGTTGATGATATGAACGAAACACATTTAAATTATTTTGTTGTTGGTGCTGCCAACTTCATATCAAATAATCATGATCATGCGAAAGATGTACCACCTAACTCATTGAAATTTTTCTGGGCTGGTTCAATTGTATTTGGTGGTTTCGGTTTAATCGAAGTTAATAATGTACAAATGAACTTCTCGTTTATTGATCGTTCAGAAAAAACTTTATATCAAACAACTATGATACCACGTTTTTAATATGTTATACTTAAGATTTAAGAAAAAAACAACTTGAAATATTTTATTATTGTAATTTTTGTATTTCTCATATAAAATTGAGTCTAGAATTATTATCTAGACTTCATTGCGTATTATATATTTATTCTATCACACGAACTTTACTCTTATATCATTCGATGGCGAGTTCATCAGAAGAAAAGATGCGCTAAAATTTTTGATTTTCATACGTATCTCCCAATTGTGCATTTAAAAATGTGAACATGCGATAGAACCGATCACTGTATGCGTCCTGCCGTATATACAATAACTCTTCGAAGAGTACTCCGATTGCGATGAAATTTTGTACATAGAATTGTCTCATGAATACCTCGTTCGAGTTGAAAAATGAGAATGATTCGTCAAAGGATTACAAAATAGTATACAAAACCGTGATGAACAAGAAAGTTAAGGAATATATTTCAAAGATAATTTCTTTAGTTGAAATATGAGTATCGTCTTGTGAGTCATCATAATCTATTTGGGCATCAAAACTATTCTAGCAAGCCGTTTTTTCTGAAATTCGATAAGGTAATCTTTGATCTTTTTCAAGGAAATGTGTTTTTTTAAACAGTTTGATTAAGATCAATCTTTTGTCAATTATTTTTATTTTTTGAAGTACACTTAACACTCAGATTGAAATAGGAGGCTTCTCTATTTATTATTGATCTTCATGATTGTCAAAGTCAATAGATATGAGCTTAAACGTTTGTAATCGACAAATTTATAGTTGTCATTAAATCTTCCAACTCAGAACTTCGAGCTTAACTTCGTAAGCCATTTGTTAGTGACTGTCAGAAATTCATTATAAATAGTTCTCGCTACTTCATGCTTTCATTATGTGAATATTAAAAAAGATTGCTCGTTATTATAAATGTTATACTACCTACTGATTTTGTGTGGCTGTGAAAATCCGTACATACTAGATATATTAATAGTTGATTCTTAGGGATGAACACTGCTAGTATTCACAACTGTGTCCCCTATCATTGTTTTTATTTTATTATTCATATCTATAGTAGTACTAGGAATAGTTGTGTTAATTAACAAACTCGAACAGTAACAAATTTCTCGCAAGTCTGGTCGTTTTTGAGCAATACAAGCCGACGTTTCGCCATACTTATTCGTTCGACTAAGATGCCGTCGTTGAATATCGAATGTTTTTGTCTTTGGATCATATCCAGCTGTCACTTCAAATCGAGCTTCACCGGGCTTTGTTTCAAATTGAATCTGATAGAATCTGCTTTCATTTGTCTGATGTAACGAGCTGTTTTTATCGTTTGAATGAATAGAGTTCGAACGATGATCATCGTTTTTTAACTGACTAGCTTTGTTTACTCGAAATAGACTAAGGGTAGCACATTCTTGTTTGTATTCTGACGCGAACTTATTCAGAAAATCAACGACAGCTTGACTATACTGCTGAATGATTAGTTCATTAGTCGATATGTCCTGCCAATTATAACAAGCACACCAATGTTGCGCTACATCAGCTTGTGCACAAGTTCGATTTTCAGGCACTAATTCGAATAAACTGATTGAACGGTTCGATTTCGATTGATAATGATCGTTCGAATGAAAGTCGAAAAGATGTTCGAATGTTTCATGAATATCAAACGGTGTTGTCAATCGATGTGAATTCAAACGTAAATTTCTCATAATTGTTGGATATTGTGCTTGAAACTTAGGTGGCATTCGAATGGACATAAAAGGTAAACGTTCTTCCAATTTGCCTTGATAAGTCTTTCTCAATGATGCGAACCGAGCACCATGATCAGTCATAATGACGAGCATCGTGTGATCTAAATACCCATTTGTTTGCATCATTTGAAGAAAAGCTAAGAGTTCGTTATCAGCGTACGGTAAACGATTATTAGAATCATGTGAATAATGGGAATGGAATAGATACGAAAATTTTGGTTGATGACGATACATATCGAAGAGATTGCGAATCCAATCGAACATCGCTTGGAGACGAGTGATCGAACCAAAACAATGTGGCCTCGACGTTTTCTGTGGTTCTGCAAACCTATAGAAAGGACGACCGAAATGATCCACGGGTGGATTACGAAAACCTAATAGACGATATTGAAATGTACCAACATTCTGCATATCTTCAGCCCATTGTGTCACATAACCATTATCTAAGCGATATAAGAAATAAAAAGAAAATGAAAGATATTAAAGCTTTTGAAAAGATCTGTTGTTCTCATATAGACAAAAACTGAAACTCGACCTAGTCTGACATATGACCAGTTTACAATTTTGATTATACAATGATTTTTTATCGATGGATATCAAGGAAGCTGCTTATTAAATGAAATTTTGAACATGAAGTTTTTTGAGATATAAGATTGCAGAATACTGTGAGATTGTTCAGTAAATCCTAAAGATCATTTTGTTACAAATATTCTACCAATGCTTTTACCTCTGAATTGTTTCCAAATCCAAGGAAAATCATCGACAGTTTGAGCACCTGCATAGCCTCGTCGTGATTCGGGTAGTTCGCGTTCTGTTTGTCCGGTCAGAATAGGAAAAAGTGCTGCTGGCGTACCATCACCGACAATATTGTAGCCTATGAATTATTGTGTTTAATTAATTGATGATGAATAATAAATATTCGTAAAGAACTAACCTTTCATAACAATAGCACCAAGTTCTTTAATTAGATACGAATAGGTTTTCGGTAAAAATCGCATGAAAGTCATACGAGATACCGAATCAAAGCCAAACATCAGAACATTGTATCCGAGATGAGTCTGTATCATTGGTTTCTGCATACTCCTACAATTAAAGATTACGTATATAAAGAATTAAAGATATACATATTCACCTTGCATGTAAGAGAGGATCAAACATCAGTCCCATGTGAGGGTTTGAATAGGTACTATTATCTTGTGCTTTGCAATCGATATGAAAGAAATCGGATACTAAAGGCATTTTGTCGACGACTGGAAATATCCGATCACCTTTTTCCGTTTTGAAATCATCGTTCACTCGAATAATAGGAGTATAGCCACACATAATTGATCCATGTTTCTGTAGGGCTTGTTGTGATAGTCGAACGGTACCTAAATCAATATTCGAATGAGTGTCGATCTTTTACAATCTTTCTTAGTGCTGTCTTTGCACGGCAACACTCAAGTGTTGATATACAAAAATAGCACTGTATTTACTAACCGTTCTCCACATATATCCAATTATTGTCTTTTTCACACTCTGGTTTTGGTTGATTTACCGGCTGTAGATGTTTCCAAATTTCAGGATTATCGATCGTTAATGTAGGATAGTGACAAGCCAAATGAGCCGTATCGAAGTACTCTTCGCGTAGAAGATGAAGATTAGAAGTGAGCTTAATTTTTGCATCATTGAGATCAGTTTCATCTACGATAAACAATCTATTCGGTTCATGAAGTGGCGTAATAGTGACACGGGAAAATATCACAATCAAAATGATGGTTATAATGCCAACACACAATACCAGAGTGGAAGCAGGACTCCTTCTTGGACGACAATAACGACACCATCGACGTATATTCATAGTTTATTCATATCTGAAGAAAAAGAAAATGTACTTTTAATCAAAGCGCAATCTTTTATAAGATACAATGCTGAAGTCGTCTGAAGCAGATTTAACAAAAAACAGATCAAACGAATGTGTCATCAAAATCTGCGTATACATATGAGTCACTACAAAAGTTTTTCTGCCTAGTTCTTCTAAAAGTGTCCCTTTGATTTTAAGTATTCTGTCATAATACTTAGATATATTTATGGTTATGTGCAAAGTTTTAGACTTTTATGTCTTGCACTTTGCTCTGATCTGCAGTTCCTTTTCTGCTTGATACACGTAACCTGCTAACGGATGATTTATTATAAATCAGAGAATTTTGTATTTTATACTTTTATTCCTAAATATGTTTCATTACAAAAAAAGCTCTATAATCTACAGAGGATAACTAATCTTACATTTGCATTTTCGTGTTCAAAAATCGACAAAATTCTGAGCAATCAAATTTCAACGTTACGAAAATAATATTTTTTTGATAAAAGACGAAGTCTTTTTTTTTTATTTCATCTCTGCTTTAATTCATATCTTTTATTAAACAGGAAGCAAAATATAATACAAGCTACACCGTCAATAGTCCAAAAATTTATATAAGTCAGCTTATTTTACAGCTGTATTCATTTTCTTTGAATATCGACAAAATTCTCACTTATCAAATTTCAACGTTGCAAAAAAGTGATATCTTTTGTTTGCCATAAGTGCGTCTTTTTCTTATCTGTCATCTTATACGTTTTATTTTAGTTGTGTCCTTTTTATTGTGATAATGAAATCAAAATTCTCTCAACTACTTATGACAGCATCGAGAATTAGTTCCTCAAAATGCTATTTATTTTGAAAAAAAAGTAGATAATTAACTTACGCTTTACACTGTAGCTTGTAGAGCTTTTCACGCTACATCTTCTGCTATATTTTTTTTAATAAAGGGTGAATATGAGTGAGAGAGAAATACTGATACCCACACTCACTCCCTCAATTTCTATGTGTCTATTTTCATTTTTCGATCAACAGTGTTATTATTATATCCTAGTCGATTTAATACACAATCTAGTATTCATCGCAACTTTTTAGAAACTCATTCTAGTGTAGTACTAATTTTACCTACGATAATTTTCATTCAAATAAATGAATATTGTTTTTTTTAGAGAAATAATAATTGTCTAGTTATGATCTCAACGACTCGCGTACGTATTCACATATATAAATCTCTTATTCTCAAATCAATTTACTCTTCGACGAACGAGCACATCGGAAAAAAAACCTTCAAATATTTGTAATGTGATTTGCTGTATTTGCTGTAGAAAGAAAAGTAAGAGAAAAGTGCGCAGATGGATTAAGTTAATAAAAATATCAAATAACATAATAACTTACTCTGAATGACAATATCAGTTAATATTTACTTGATAATTCCATTTATCTATACATTTCTCTCTTTCTTTCTTCTTCTTGAAAAGAAACTCTTCGTAATTTTATCATAATCGCCGCAGTCAGTTCTCATATTTCGTTGCCTGAAGAATCTTTCAATAGAATAATCTACGATCTTATTTTGAGGTTATAACAGATCAATTTGTAACTTTTGATTTATAATATCAAAGTATAACTTGATCTATAACTCATGAAAATTGTAAATTTTGATTTACAGTCACTCAGTTTCTTGATCAGAAAGTTATTTGAGTGACAACTTTGAATCGCAGTCAATGAACATCACAGAAATAAAAATTCTTTCAGTATTTTGCGCTCTTTGATATCTTATCGATGTATTTTTTTTCTTCAATCAAATGTTTTAGACAAAATATACAATTATCTTTATAATGTGTTACGATTTCTTGTAATAGAGAAACATATTTTTTAGGGATATGACTACACTTGATTAACAATGCAATGTCGACGATTGAACTTGATGCAAACAAAATCGACAGATATGAACCTGCGCATGACAATTCATTATCTCAAAACGCGACTGATGAGCATATATCTCATTCGATAATATTTCGTGCGATGATTCTTTTTCAAGTGATCGCCTATGGTTCTTATTCAGTTTTAGTACATCTTTGTGAGCGTAATGGTACCATTATGTTCTCTTCTGCGACGATGAATTTGGTTCTTGAACTTGTCAAGCTCGCCTTTTCTTTCGTAGCTCTATTTTGTAATAGAGAACAACCATTTGTCATAAATACTACAAAACGATCGTTAATTCGTCATTCTTTGTACTACTCAGTGCCGGGTCTACTTTATTTTATAAATAACAATCTTGCCGTTCACATGCAAGCTCACATGGATCCTGCGTCGTATCAAATTTTATCACATTTTAAGATCGCTTCAACAGCCATTCTCTATCGACTTATTATTAAAAAGAAACTTTTGCGTCAACAATGGATTGCCATAACGCTACTGTTCTCTGGTGGTCTCTTCTACAGTTTAGGTATGTTCTTCTTGGGGAATAAAGTAAGAGTTATAAGAGTTACGTGATACAAGATTATTGACCGTTGAGTAATTAATTAGTAATTAGCATTGCCAAAATGCATCTTATACATCTTAAAAAGTTAGTCGATGTGAGTGACAAGCACTTTTGAGCTAGAAGCTGTTATATAATTTTACAGTTCGACTCGGACGCAATGCATCTGGTAGGGGTTATAAGATGCTGTAATACAGATGACTTCTTTTGATAATTTTAAAGGCTTGCTAAAATTCTTGAGAGTTTCTCAAGAATTTAAGATAGTTGAATGATCTGTGTGTTTTCCCTTGCACCGAGAACGTATTCTAAGAATCTAACCTATTATAATAAACACGAAAGACGTGAAAGCTGTGGTCTTTGACAAAATCTATTAGGAAGTTCTTTATATAGAGCTAAACTTTGTATACATTTATGTGTTAATTCTTCTTTGAAGGAACGATCACGAACTCCGCAATGGTATCACAGACCAATTTGACAATAATGTTTATTCGTCCATGGGGACTTTCAATGATTTTCGTCTATTGTACACTAAGCGGTCTGGCTGGCGTCTATAACGAATGGATTCTGAAAAAGTACTATACAGAATCTCTTCATCTACAAAATATATATCTTTATACATATGGATTTCTCTTCAATTTTATTCCGGCAATAGGAATACCATTGCTATATACTCGATCATTTCTTCAGGTGAATCCATTCGAAGGTTTCTCAATCTATACATGGTTACTAATTGGGACTCAAGCACTTAATGGTTTGTTCATGTCAGCTTTAATTAAGCATACATCGAATATAATTCGTTTATTTGTTATTTCTTTTTCATTGATCGTAACAACGATTTTATCGGTTGCAATTTTTCACCTATCATTAAATGTCTACTTTTTTATTTCTTTTACTACCATGATGTGCGCTCTCTGGCTTTACTATTCTAAATAAAAGTAATATCGTAATTATATACGAACACTTCTATTTGCTAGAGTTAACAAGACTGAAAGTCTAATACATTCCTTTGCAGTTGAATAAAATAAGAATAAATTAGTTTTAACTAGTCAATCAAAGAACAAACAATTGCCAGTAATAAATTCTATTTCCTTTTTATTATCATGTTCAGTAGAATACTTGTAAATATTACCTTCTACATCTGTCTTCTTTTTTATTGTAAAATCATTTATTTGAAATTATTATTTTTTTCTGCCATATAGAATCCTTTCATCACATATCGTCGTCTTTTAATTATGTTCCTTTTCACGCGCCATAATCCTGAATATGCATATTATATAGATACATATCCCATGTAAAAAAATGAGGTAAATAATTAAACATAGTCGAAATATCTGATGAAAATTTCACTTTTTGGATTATGTCTGACTACAATCGTGTGAAGATCAATTAAAGGTGTATGATTCTATTCGATTTGAAATTATTTTCTGATCGTTGTTAATCTGATTTTTTTAACGGTTGTTTTTAATGTAAAATGCTTATCTCGAGCATCAGTGATTGTGATATATTTATGTTCATGATTAGCTCTCATTCTTTTGAAATTACATAAATCCTTCAAAGAACAACATATCGAATGACTTTACTGACACTGTAATATATTTACTTTTTATTATATTCTCTCGAAGACTGAGCGCATAAGATAACAAATATTTAATAAGTAAGTACGCTCTTGTAGTGTGCAGGTTGAAACTAATTTAGAAGGTCAAGTATATATAATTTTTATTTACGACATTTCAGCACAGAATAAGATAGTCAAATATTGATTAACATAGAGAAAAATGCAAAACAATTATATACCAAATTGTGAGTATGGATATGGATGTGATTATTTCTCTCTCACCCACATCCGCAATATAAGTGTTGAAAGAATTTTAAGTCCTATTTTTAAATGTATTGATTGATATTTTTGTTACAATTTCATTCTCTTCAAAAAAAAAGTTTTTTTTGTTCCCAGCAGATATTAATGATTAACATGCATTCAGTTTGTGGTTATGTTATTTTATTCCGTATTCTTTTCATAGTCTAATGTTGATAATGATATAAAAAATATGCGAAAAAAATTAAATGTAAAGATTATTCGTGCATGCACTTATTACAACAGAAATAAGAAACTAGACAAGCGTTTAAATCTATGACAACAGAAGAGCCTTTGGATTCCATATTTTTCTCACAGATTCTCTAGTTGAGGAGAATAACAATAATCAACACTTACAGGTTATGCTAATAGAACGGAGGAGAGACTGAGAAGGGAAAACTAACACGGATGAAAGAGAAAAATGAGGAATAAAAATCATGGGAAGTATAAAATAAAAAGAGTGAGAGAGACCAGAAGTAAACATGTACATACTACTGATCGTCCTAAAACATAGTTTCTCCTCATATTTTGTTTGCATGTTGTTGCATTTGTTTACTGCAATAGCATCGTACTTATTATTGCTTACTTGCATAAACTTATATGTGATCCTATTATTGAAATATTTATATATATATATTTTTTCTGTTATTTCTAGTTAAGTGCATTCTTTAAAATCTCAATTATACTGTCAAATTTCACGAATAAAAAACAACAACTAATACTGTTTAAAAAGATTTCTAAAAGAATAAATTTATCTGTAACAATTTATGATGTTCACATTTAACAACATTTATAGATACATTTATGTAAAATAAAACTTTAGAGAAAATGCTACAAATATATTAAAACCTCCCGTGGATAGTTTCAATGGCTGAAGAGCTATATCAGTTTTGTTGTCGATACACAGCTTTATTAGTATATATGTCTTTGTGTTACAGTGATACTCCGATCACATTTTCGTACTTCAATAGTGAATGAATACTGTTTTGAACAGTTGCTAATAAGCTCTTCTTCTAAAATTATATTATGAAAGATCTTAATATTCATCCTTAGACAGCTGGCTGAATTAGGATGCGAAGAATATCGACTGAATTATGACAAGCATCTTTTCATTTTTGTACAACATTCGGACACTTCTGTTTCTATTTATTTGATAATAATTAAAAACGCGAAATTTGATTGATACTACCACTTTATATGCGGATGAACAACTGCAAAAAGTGACATGATACGACATTACAAGAAAATGTCATAAAAAAATATCATCAAAATTGATTGATTTTCCTATATATAACACATCTGTAAAACAAATATAAAATAAAGACATTTACGTCTATATGATTTTTGTATCACCATAACAAGAAATGTTCTTATAAATAGCATTGATATTAAACCGTCCAAATGATCACGAGTTCTATTGAATTTTTCTACGTATAATACCAGAGTATTATTGCTCTCCATTGAATGATGGTTCGAATACAATATACAATGAAGCTCTAGCTAGCACTTCTAAACTGCATTCTGTACGAAAAGTACAAAAATTGCAATAGTAAAATGTTTCAAACTGTTTTTCTTCATGAAAACTTTATCAAATCGAGAAAATAAGAACAGTCAATGATATATGTCTCAGGTAAAAAATAGAAAATGATAAAATACAATCAATCGATTAGTTCTTAATGTAAAGAACCAACATCTAATAGATTCAAGAATTTTGCTTGATATATACACCCATATAAATATAGTATTCAACTAGTATTCTTTTTCTGTTACTCTTATCTTTGATGTTTATAGTTATCTCTCTTTGTATATTTACTTTTAAAATATATTTATATTTTTCTGTCTCACAATATTTTGTGTATTTGAGTATTTATTATTAGAAACATGTTTCTGATCTTGTTAGTGCAACTTATTGTCGTTTATCAACTTTCAACAGCATTTCCAACTAGTTTTGGTATGTTTCTTCTCAAAGTATTGTAATCTATAAGAATTTAATTGGTTTTATTTCAGGCCAATATGATATAGTAGCAAAAGAAAATGATGATAAAACGACAAGATTTTTTATTGTTGGCGATTGGGGTGGTTTACCAGTTTCACCATTTGATACTCCATCAGAAGTTGCTGTAGCTGATGCAATGGGTAAACTAGGTGTAAAATTAAATACAACTTTCCAGTTAGCATTAGGTGATAATTTTTATTATGATGGTGTCCAAACAGTCAATGATTCAAGATTTCAAGTACAACTTTCTTTTTTCTTGTCTATCTAGATGATTATTCATTTTTCTATTTATTAGACGACTTTTGAACATGTATTTTCAGCAACTTCATTACAAACTCCTTGGTATGTTTTAGCTGGTAATCATGATCATGGAGGAAATGTTTCTGCAGAAATTGAATATGGTAAAACATCAAAACGATGGTCAGTAAATAGATTTTTTTATATAAGAGATGACAAAAATTGAAATATTAATAGGATATTTCCTGATTATTTTTATTCATTTTCTTTATGGCAAAGTGATAAACAAAAGAAAATAATTGATTTCATCATGATTGATACTGTTATACTTTGCGGTGGAGATACTTTATCAGATTGGGATCATAAACCATTAGAAGGTCCTTCAAATAAACATGTTTCTGAAGCCTATTGGCAATGGATTGAAGGACAACTTCGTCAATCAACGTATGTGTTTTATCGAATATTAGTAAAAATCATATATTTATGATCTATCTTCAATAATTATTAGAGCTCCTTATTTGCTTGTTAACGGTCATTTTCCAGTATATTCAGTTGCTGAACATGGTCCAACAAAATGTCTTGTTGATCGTCTTCGTCCAATGCTTCACCAATATCATGCTACAGCATATATCTGTGGACATGATCATAATCTTCAAGTAAAATAATTAAAACACCTAAGTTATATACTAATATTTTACTTACGTTTTTAGCATTTGACAAATGATATGAATGGTGTACATATGAATTATTTTGTTGTTGGTGCAGCTAATTTTATTGATCCAAGTCAGGAGCATGCGAAAGATGTACCAGTTGATGCACTTAAATTTTTCTGGGCAGGCTCACCAGTTTATGGTGGTTTCGGTTTAGCTGAAGTCAATAATACACATTTGAGCTTATCTTTTATTGATCATGCCGAACAAACATTATATCAAACAGTTATGACACCTCGATCATAACTTCAATCATTATTTTCATATGAGTTATGCAACATTGAATATATCATAATTTAGATTTTGTAAAAATTTAATAATAGATTTATGCCCGTTATATCAACAAATATTTTGACATCATAATAATATTTTTTTATATAATAAAACTCAATGTGAAATGTTGAAAAGTAATTTGTTGTATCTCTATATATCTATTGTCATAAATATAAGTATGTACATGTATACATAGTCAATGATCATTAGGATATCAACAAAAATTTTCATGTATATATGTGTATATGCATATTAAATAGGAGATTGAAGTGAGGACAAGTCATAAAGTATCGTCGGCGTCAAAATTTAAAATGATTATTGTTGTGTTTGTCCGATATTGAGCATTAAAATATTGTGCATACTTAATTCAACTAAATAAATATTCTCAATTTATTTGATGATCAAAACATTTTATCGTTATAAATCACACTTGCTCTTCTTCTTCTTCTTCTATTTATTCTTGTGACATTGATATCACTCATATAAAATCCAACAATTATGTGTAATATTTGCTGTTTCTCTCAGTCGACAATCAGATCAAATCGTTTTTGTTTATTTTTCTGACAGTAAAAAAAACGAACAAGTCTGCCACTTGAATCGATCATTTATGTATATACGTTTCACAGCAGTTATCAGAAATAATGATGATGATGACGACAGATAGAAATCAATAAACATAGAGAGAAACATTAATATTCGTTAATCAAACTACTTATCTATGATGATGTGTCGTAAAGATGAATTTTTTTTGATATTATTCATCATTTATTATATCAAAAAAAAAAATAAGTTGACATAAAATTCAAGAAAAAAACATAATATTTATTGCATTTATTAGTCATACTGTTAAAAAATGCTCTCGTTTTATTTCTTTATAATATTGACATTGTTATACGTCGTATTTTCTTTTATTAATTATTGTTATCAACTGAAAGAAATAGTTTATATTTGCCATTTAACCACACCATACTTTTTTCTTATTAAGTCTAAATCGTCAAGAATAAAATAGACTATTTCTCAAGCATAACAAATGAGAATGAAGCAAAAAAAAAGAGTATTTTTAGCAACTAGTTCTAATTTTCTTTTCTTTTAATCTAAAATCATTATGGTAATTCAATATAGTATTTTGCTTTTGTACACGTGTATGTAATCGCTATATTATTGAGCCATGAACCGCCTTTGTAATGTGAATCTCAAACAAATGCTATTTATTTTTTTCAATCAAAAATTTTCGTCATCATAGAGATGCGACTATTGCCTAATACATAAATGAATGAAAAGTTAAAATCCAGATTGTTCTCAATATCAGTAAGAGAATAGAGAAAAATATGTAGACATTGATGATCTATTATTCTTTTTTCCATTTACACAACTGATATTAATTATATAGAAACGAATAGTGATGATAGTTAGTAGCATCTCTTCAGTGATTAATGTTGATGAATTACTCATCAATAAGACATGATGTTCAATATCATAAAATGACGAATGAATCTAAATACACATGTTTACAGATACATACATTGTCCCGTTTCTATCTATCTATATATATATATATATATCGATTCAATGATCTGTAGATCGATATACATACACGTTTGTGTGTTGACATCTGATAGGGTTGAAGCACGCGTGCCATACCGAATCGAGCGTATTATATACGAGGCGGAGAGATTGGACGGCAATTAGTTTTCAGTGTATTCACTCGAATATGACATTTACAACAAAAAAAAAAGAATCATAGGTGCACATTTCCGACATTGTACGTTTGAAGTAGTGATACTCAATTACACCAGTTGGTTTAATCAAGTTGCCATTTGAAGGAAAAAAAAAGAAAAAAAAATAAGGCAAAATCAAGGGTAATGAACAAAAGAAAAAGAAATCTTTTCTTCTTCTTCTCAATTAATCAATGGATGAATGATACCAGAAGGAGAAAAAAAGCGATAGAAAGAGCAATTGTTTATGTCATTCAAGCAAGACAAACCATAGTCAAGCTAACAGCAGAGAAGGAGAAGAAAAGAAGAAGACGTTGATGCTTGTTTAATTATTTTCTCATTAATCTGTTAATTGGCTACGTTCTATTGTATGCTTAAGACCAGAATGAGAAAGGCAATGTAAGAAATAGATAAGTATAAAAATAGTAGCAAGAATCTGTTATTATTATCGTATCGAAAGACAATAATTATTTTCTCGTCACTTTGACGTTTCAGAAGACTTTATTCATGTCATAAGTTTCTTTTTCTTTTATATCACAAATTTAATAAAACAATGGATAAATGCTACTGGCGTTACTGGTAGGTATCAATCATATTTTATTCACTTCATCATCTATATATGTGTATAAGAGATTGATTGCATGAGAAATAAAGACAATAGTACACAAAACCCAATTCTTCTATCTATTTGTGTCTCGTCGTATAGAGGAAATACACACATAGACTATTGACATATACGTACATATAGATATATACATATATGTATATACACTGTACTCGTATATTCACTCTCATCAAACTAGATTTTCATTGTCGTTTGTTTAAACAATACGAATGAGCTCAGAGTTGTGTCGTTATCATTGTCTATAAAGACGAGCCCATATGATGGCGCGACAGCACGTTACGATGGATGAACAAATGTGAAATCTATGCTGCGTCATCCATTCGAAGGTGTATGTTAATCTTCGTACTTGAGCGTATGTGTAGAAGCTAGATGAATGAATGTATAAAGAGGAAAGAGATGAAAGTAAATAAAGAAAAAGAGAAGAAGAAAAAAGAACGAAGTAACAAAAGTATGTATGTACTAGTTGTAGTAATACGAAAAAAAAAGTAAAGTTTTTTTCTTTTTTTATTATTGTGTATATATGTGTCTCTTCTTCTATTATCTATCGTTCGTTCTTTCTTTCGATTTTGTATGTATGTCTATGTATGCATAATGTCGATCCTCTATAACTTTTGCGATTTGAAATGGTGATGATGAATGATGAAAATTCGAGGACGTGATCAACTCCGAGACACAACAACAAGTAAGCTTGACATTTCCCTCTAAATGTAACAATGACACTCTTATTGTTCTTTCATCAATGACAAACGTGTCTTGATTATAATATTTTTCTTTTATCTTAGAAATTGAATGATTTCATCATCATCTGAAAAATCGTTTTTTGTTTTTTGGTTGTTTTTGTCTTATCTAACTTTCTATATTTCTTCATATTCATCTATGATTGGTAGCTTAATATTGCAAAAAGCGTGATTTATTCTCATTGGACTCTTTTTTTTTTGTCTCTTCTCTCTACTCATATACAAGTATTCGCGTATACCACATGTAGTGCTCTATGAGTATAAGAAATCGGATATTCACTCTCCTACTCGTTCGCTCGCACACTTCTTTTATTGTATAAAAATGCAAATATGTGAATGTGTAAAAGAAGGAGAGAGAGGGAGAGGGAGAAAAAGAAGAAAAGCGAAGTTAGTCCTAAGTGCGAATTTCTCTCTTTCGCTCTCTCCGTAAAAAAAAGATGAGAACATTTTGTTGGAAGAGAAATCGTTCTATCGTGTGCGTTTTTTTTCTTCATCTACTCTCGTTTTTATCAATCAAACTGATTTTGACCTTTTTGAATAAATGGTATTTTCATTAGATTTATAGTCTCTCACATACATACGTCTCAAAGTTGTGTCATCTATTCACAGCAGCAACATTTTGTGCTCTTTAGGTAAGTGATCTTTCTTCTTCTTCTTCTCCTCTGATTGCTTCGCTCATGTGATTTTGGCATCTGATTAAATACACCTGTGATGATGATATTTGTTCACTCAAAAAAAGAAAAGAAATATTTGCGTCATCAACGTGACATATCAAGATGGAAAAAAAAAGAAATAAAAAATGATGATGACATTATCAATACTATTCTAAATAAAAGAAGAAAAAAACGAAAGAAAAATAGTGACATTTATTTAGAATTTCTGGTAATCTACTGTGTTGTTTTTTTCTTTCACTTTCACGATGACCAATGGTTATTGTTAATTAATAAACATCTATCTTTTCATTGAGTTTCGTCAATAGAGATTTAAGAATCATGTCTTCATCTTAAGTTTTTGCTCTTTACTTATAAAGAATTACCTATTCGAATTTTTTTCTCTGTTGTTATTGTTGTTGTTGTTGTTTAGTATATAGTAATTCGTAAAAGTAGACGATAAGAACGAAGATTGTAATCGATTAATCGTATTTATCATATTAGAATAGACAGATTCGATTGGATAAGATTATTAAATAATGTTGTCCAATCATTTTTATTTTCGAATAAGTAGTTGTTGCTATAAAAAGAATCGATGTTGTCCATTTAAAATATCGTTGATGTATAATAATGAAATCTTGTAAGTTTTGATAAGTATAAAGTAAGGAATGATATATCCTACCGTTGATGAAACGAGCAATGGCGATGACGACTGTCTTGTCTTTATATGTATATACATGTGCTCTAACGCTGAACTTTCGGTGCGCTATTCACTGATATTTAGAAGCGAAAAGTCAATGTATTATCAATGAGAATATCGTCGTTTTTTTCTCTTTTTTTTTCTCTCTCTTTTATTTCTTGGTGGCCACTGCCTAAATGAATGTCTTTATGTACATGCACAACGATAAGGTCGCGTCATTTCTAAAAATGTTAAACATTCTTTTTATGCCATTTTGGGCACATGCCCGCCCGCTGTCGTCATCGTTGCGCGACATAAAAGGTTAGTTATGTTTAATTTCTATATTTGGATGTCCACCATATATATATATAGATAGATATAGATACATTTGGACATACAAAAAGAAAAGATCTCCAAGAAAGGAAAGGAATAAAAAAAACTGACAGATAACTGTAACATTGTTTTTTCTAAAATTGTATTAAAAAATATGTATCTGTCAATCATTGACACACGTTTAATGGCGGCAAATTTGTTTTTATTGAAAATGATCCTCATGTAAATGATTAATACATGTGTATACATTACTATAGCTAATGAAGTTTGAGAAGTGTGTTGGCGGCATTACTAATTTATAGCTGTGATCTTGATAAAATAATTATAAAAACATTGAATTAGGATGAGTAAGTGTGTAGTAAACCGAGCATTTCTATCCACTTGTTATGTACTTATTTATACATATATGCATATAGAAAGAGAGATTTACTAAATCTATTTTTTCTCTCTCTGAACTTTTCCGATATAAACGATAATAAATGACTATGTAATTGAGTTTGAAGATAATAGAAAAAACGGAGAATATCTTTGTCGTCATATAGAAAATGTAAAAAAAAAGATTTCATTTTTTTGTATGTGATATAATCTGTTTTCTTATTGATTATCCGGATGTTCAATTCTTTTCTGTTGACACGATATTAGTTGTTACAGTTCATTTGATATATACGTGCTGTCCCCTTCGGATATCCTGTACGTATCATCATCAAACATATAGCGCATACGTGAAAGCTCACGTGTACGATGTCAGTTAGTCAAATTAGCTGGAAGATATTTAGCAATGATCATTTTTATTTTCTTCTTCTTCTTCTTTTATTGTATAGAAAAAGAAGAAAAATCTGGAAATAATTTAAGATCAGTAGTCTATATCTTTAATGAATGAGAAAGCGAACAACACGTGTTCGAACTGTCAGAATCAACAACGGGATATTCATATAAAGTAAACATACAAGTAGACAGATACAAAGATCTGGTCAAATTGTAAGCAGTCTATAATTAACTTGAGATTATAAAAGAAAAGAGAAAGCGAATAGTAAATTGGAGAGTGATAATGATGATGAGCATGAACAGTAATGTGAGCCGGCATAAGAGAAATAAAGAATAAGCAAGTAAACGCGTGCCAAATGCCATAAAGGGTATCCGGCTATGTTCGTTAGTCGACCTTTCCCAATTTATACACGCGAATATTTGTGTAGATATATATACATTAGTATTATAATTATAAACAAAAAGAAAAATTTGTAATCAAATGCTATAAAATCAAAAGAATTTATTTAAAAATAACTGAAATCAAATTAAAAATATTTCTTTTAGTGCTCGTATCATGAATACAGACAATCTTGGCGTTAGTGGAACAGGTGTTGGTGTCACCAATGATCCATATGGACATCATCATCTTACTCATCCTCATCTTCTTCCACCTCATCATTCACAACATTCATCAGCAATCTATTGTTCTTCATCAAATCCTTATACAGAATTATTTTCTCCATTTCCTACTGATTTTATAACACCTCATGATACTGGTACTAATCCAAGTGTACCAACTGATTATCTTACATTACAAAATTCAATTGATTATGTTGTTTCACATCATCATCATCATCAACAACAGCAACAACAACAACAACAACATCTTCATCAAATGACATCATCATCAAATGGAGAAAGAACACCATCATCTGTTGGTACTGGTATTACTGGTTCTGATTCATCTCCATCACATTCATTTGCTACAAGTAGTGGCTATTCATCATCAGCTGATTATTACAATGCATCAGTTCTTAATTCCAAAACAGGTCTTAATAACACAAATACATCAAATACAAATTCTAGTAATAACAACAATAACAACAACAATAATAATTCATCGATAGCAAATACAGGTAGTCATAGTCCATATGATGGTGCATCAACAGCAAGTACATCATCACCACCACAATCAATAGGCTATTTACCAACAATAGTTAAACAGGAAACAATGATGCCAGGCGCATTTACCATCGATCCACACAGTAATTACGGTATAAATTAAATTTAACTTCTTTATAAAATTTAATCTAATCATTTTCTATTTTCTATAATAATAGGAAATGCAAACGGTACAGCATCATCAATAAACAATCCTAATAATCCAAATTTTGGTCTCGGTGTCGATGATTATAGTTCTTCATTATATCACCCATCAGCAGCAAATCCCTATCCATCATATTCATCAACAGGACTTTTACAAACATCTTATCCAGTCGGACCTTATGGTGTTTCTCATTCGGATCATATGCGATTGTATAGTTCCCAACTAAAACATGATTTTGGGTAATTTCATATATATAAAAATTACATTAATCAATAACACAAATTTCTTTTGTTCATTTTTAGTATCGATATGCGTTTTAAATTAGTTGGGAATCAACGAGTTTCACCAAATGCCGATGTATCTCCATCACAATTATGTGCTGTTTGTCAAGGTAGATTATTATTTAGTATATTCATATTTATTTATTTACTTGTTTATTTACAGATTCAGCTCAATGCCAGCATTATGGTGTTCGAACTTGTGAAGGTAAATTCATCATTTTTTATTATTTCTGATTATTCATTTGGTATGTTTTAGGATGTAAAGGATTCTTTAAAGTAAGTTAAACTGTCTGCTCAAAGATAATCTCTTTCAATCGGATATATAAATAAAAAGAAACGAAAAAATATTCTTTTTTTTATTTATTTTAGCGAACAGTACAAAAGAATGCTAAATATGTATGTTTGGCAGATAAAAATTGTCCAGTTGATAAACGTCGTCGAAATCGTTGTCAATACTGTCGGTTTCAAACATGTCTAGCTGTTGGCATGGACAAAGAAGGTTAGAAAATAAAATCCTTAATATATAAAATCTAATCTTTTATCTTTATTTAGTTGTTCGAACAGATGCATTGAAAGGTCGCCGTGGTCGTCTACCATCCAAACCAAAAAGTCCAAGTATTCGACAACCAAATAGTTTTCAAACTCAATTTTGTCGTTTCTATAATGATTCCATACCAAATCCGGCCAGTCTTGATTTTAGCAAATTAAATGTAAGAAAAATATTTTTATTTCATGAAAATTTTCATTTTCTCTCCTTTTGTGTATATAATAGTATCGAACAGTGACGAATAAAGAAAGTTTATGTGAAGAAAAATTACTTGTCTATGATGCTTTCATACGTTCATGCGATATAATTAAACAATGGGTTGATAAATTTGCATTATTTTATTCCATACAAAATACTGAACGTGATCGTCTTTATTCAAATTGTTTATTAGAACAAATTGTATTTCGAACAGCAACACGTCTTGATGGTGATCGTGTTGTTTTATGTTCAGGTATTGTTGTACATAAAGTACAAATGAATTATTTACTTGGTGATGTTGCACAACAAATATATGATTATGGATCAACATTAAAAACTCGAAAAATTGATTCAGTTATAGCAGCAACACTTGCATCAATTTTATTACTTGATTCAAATAATCCTGGTAAAATAACAAAAAAATAGAAAAGATTTATTTCTATTTCGAATTTTTCTTTTAGATTATGTTTATCATCGAATACCATTATCATCAGCAGTTAATGAACTTTATCAAAAAATAGTTGATTCATTAAAAGATTATTTAAAACAACAACATGAAGATAGTTCAATTTATTTACAATTATTAGATCGACTTAATGATGCTAGACGTATTGCACATAGTCTAAGAAAACGTTTGACACTTTATCGACATTCAAATGGATTAACAAATTCAATGAATACATTACTTGATTTAGTGTATGTATGATTTTATTGAAAACGAAAAAAAACAAACTTCTGTATTTTTAGACTTGAATGTAAACCAATATCAACTGATTTACAAACAAATGAAGAAAATTCAACGTTACCATTTATGCAATATGATCTATGACCACATTTTGTTTCATTTTTTTATTTATAAACTACTATATACAAGTATTATTTAAATCCATTGCCACCATCACCGATGTTCTTCAGTAGTTATTAAAGTCATACGGGTCACAACCTTTTCTTCTTCTTCTTTTTTTTGTCTTCCATAATCCACATACACACCCATTTTTTGATTGTCTTTCGTTCTTTTTCTTTATATTGTTGTTGTACAGCACATTATTAATGATGATGATAATAATGACTGAGGGACACATATACATACCGTATTTTCTGTCTTTTATTAATTCTCTCGGTCTTCCATATAATCCTTTCATGTGCACCATCACCACCTCAAACCACTCCCAACTGACCGATTTGTTATTATATTGCTTGTATACAACCTTTGTGGTTTTCTCTTTTCTTTTCCTATTATCTCTGTCATAGAATGGAGACTGCTTTTCTCTTCTCTCTCTCTCTTTTTTTTCTACTAAATATTATGCGCGATGAAAAAATAAAATTTAATAAAACAAATTCTAGAAATTCATTTTTTACGGTTTTTATTTTCTTTAAGTTGAGCAATAATTGCAATTACATTATATAAATGTGATTTAGTATTCTGAAATTGTTGCCAGACATCAGTTTTAAATATCTAAATACAAAAAAAGACAAAGTCATGTGATATGAGTAGGGATTTATTGAGCATTATAAACTATCTATGTGTATGTGATAGATGTCATTTAAAATTCGAAAATGGCGAACTTATTCTTTTTGCCAAGTATTCAGAAGAAAATCATCTTCAATATGCACAAACAACTAAATTTTATCGAAATTGAATTCATTTATTTGAGTATATATACACCTCAGAAAATTTCTAACATAAAAATGTAAGTATACGATTTTCATTTATTTATCTCCAGCTACTTCTAGAAGATCAAACCAACTTTTTTCCGGTATGATTTAAATAGTTGTTTGTTAATGAAAATTCACCGATATATATTTCAATTTTTTCAGTATAAATATATTTTAAAATACGTTCAAGAATTTATATCAATTTGATCTTTATTTCCATTTGAAACAATGGGTTTAGCAAATTTTTCACTAGATCTACAAAGTATATGACGGTGTACATGAAATTTTTGATCATGTGAAGAACAGAGAATTATATCAGTGAAAAGTTTTTGAATTGATATTAACCACTATATATATATTGCCAGTTTGTTACATACTGAATACCAATAACTAACCGTTGATGAACATTCATAAATAATTAATTTAATTGAAAACAGAATATTATTTGATGAAATAGAAAAAAATTGTTTCACGAGGCAATATAATTAGTGCTCGGTTTTTAATAGGCTTAAGATTCCGTCATCTTCTATTTCATATGCTATGATTTACAAGTAAAACTTACATGATAATAATATTTATATAATTACCTGAGATATTGATTCAGATCCATGAATTCTCAAAATTTCAAATGTACAATGTGATTTATTATCTGTCAGTGTTGAATCTTCAGCATTTGTTGTAATAAAATATTCCGGTAAAGTTTTTAATACATGATGATTTAATGTCATCATCAATTGTTGAAGATTGTTCAATATTTGATATTGAATTCTGAAATGTACTCAGCAAAGTCCCTTATATCGTTTCACTATTACTGTCTATTTGTGTAAGTGATCTTTTTGATTATTCAACGATTGAATATCGGATAAAAACCATCAATAAATGATAATCTGTTCAAAACATTTTTTATTTAATTCATTTCTTTCATGTTCAGATTCTAGAAAACAACTGCGTAAATTAGTTTTTTCTTGTTTTAAGTTAGAATTTGTTGTTGTTCTTATACAACTTCCAGAAAAAGAATTTACAAAGCGAATAAAAAAACTAAGTTTTTCTTTTTATGCGTAGTTACCATATAATTAAATTAACTAATCAAAGAAAGAAAGAAACATATTGAAGAACTTTATGTTTGTTTCTTGTTTGTAATAAAGGAATGTGAGACAGGTGTGTCTCGATGTTCGCACATATACACTAGCGTGGGTTGTTTGTTTTTCTTGTGTATATGTATGTGTTAGATGCACACTGGTAATTATCATCACGATGATATTTAGCGAAATGTTACCAGTGTATTGGTATATATATGTATGTATGCAATCGACGACCGTTTTGAATTACAAGGGATAGAGAGAGAGAGAAGAAAAAAGAAAGAAAGGGCGATTTGTTGGTATCTCATTCCTTCGATTATCATCGCTCTGCATCGATAATCATTTTTCTTAAACTTTTTATTTTTTGTTTGATTTTAATTGTACGTTTATATATATATGTGTGTATGTGAAAAAGAGCAAGAGTAAAGAAAAGCAATCGGATGCCGATCTATCAATAGTAGCGTCGTCAATGTCATGTCCTTTACTTATAACAATAGAAATAGTTCTTTTTCGACTCGCATCACCCACCAATCAAACAATGTATGTATAAACACATATGCCAATCTTGTCGTTTTTTCCGGTAGTATTGATGTGTTCTCTATACTCATCATCTATCTGGTTACAAATGTTCTTTATTCGATATGACTACAAAGATGGAAGCATGATGAGAGGAGGGAGAGAGAGACAGAGAGACAGAGAGAAAACGTAGAGTAAGAAGGAGAGAAAGTTGCACGGACGTTGTCGTCGTGGGTGCCATATCATCATCATCACCATCACAATAACATTGCCTGAAGGTTTCATCTACCACCAGTTGCAACTAATCAGGCTACTTTTGCATCTCGCGACTGTTGATCTCTATCTCGACATCTATTCTTTCATTCATCTTTTAACATCTTTTTATAGTGTGTGTGTGTGTGGTATGTGTACCTTGCTTTTATTTATACATTTTGATCGATGTATTGATGATGAAGATGTAACTAATAGAATGAGAGAGAAAGAGTAAGACAACAACAGGTGTTACTGTCTATTATATAGTACTATTAAGAAACAGAAAAGTGTATATATATTGTGCCTATTGTTAGTTAGAAGAAAGAGATACAAACTGCTCAAAATACACACAACGTCTGTTGTTTCTAGAAACAATCAATGTGTGACGAAACAGAAGAAAATCTTATTGAAGATGCTGATGCTGATTCGGAAGATGAAGCAACACTAATAACAACAGCAACATTAACACCAACAATAAATACAACAGGCATGAAAACTGTTGTGAATAGTCGAAAGTCTTTACGGACACCTAAATGTGCACGATGTCGAAATCATGGTGTTGTCTCTTGCCTTAAAGTAAGTGTATATAAGGGCTAATAATAATCTTTTTTTGGCTTCGTTTCACTAGGGTCACAAAAAATATTGCCGATGGCGTGACTGTACGTGTGCAAGTTGTTTATTAGTAGTAGAGCGGCAACGCATTATGGCTGCTCAAGTAGCTCTTCGTAGGTAAATTATTTATCATTAATTATGAAAGATAAACGATAATATTCAATCTTTGATGCATTTTCTTTTAATTTTCTATAGACAGCAAGCAACAATAAATACAAATAAGACAACAACAATGACAAACAGTAATAAATATAGAAATTCAGCTTTATTTCTTGAACAAAAACGTCTTGCTGTACAAAAAAATTTAAGACAATTACAAGAAAGTTCTATATCACGAGATGTTATTAGAAGTAAAAGAATTTTTTTATCTTAAATATTTAATACGAATTTGTTTTTTATTATTATTGTTAAAGGTCTTAAAGCAAAAAGTCATAAAAATGAGAATAATGGAATTAATCGTTTTTCAACAATTCCAGTTCTTAATGATCGATTACGTAAACGTCGTTGTTTTGCTGATAAAGAACTGGACAATATTCCAGCAATATCTACAACATTTGAGAATATGGTAACAAACAGTGCTTTTCGTATGGCTAATTTAACACGTTTTCGTTCACGAGACACATCAATATCATCTTTTCCTACTGAAAAATCCACACATAAGAAATGGACTGATTTTTCTGTAGCAGCTATTATTGGTCAGAGTTAATCTATTTTATATTATTTTATTGTATATGTTTGAAAGAGAAGAAAAAAAAAAGAAAGAAACTATTTTTGGTGTTTTTTTTTCTTGTATTTGAGACGTAAAACTATGATTATTAGTATAAAAACATATGAACAAAATGTTCGTTATATAAATGATAAAAAAATTTTCATGCAAAATATTACAATTCTATATAAGATAATAGTATGAAATTTTAATAGAGATTGAAATTAATTATCAATATTTCAATAGACGTGTACTGTCTTGTTTTCTATATAATGATTGATAGCTCAAAATTCAATAAAGAATAATAGAGATTTTTATACATATATTATTTACTTTGTACCTAGAGGCACACAGTGCGTAAGATCAATCTTTAGATGGTAACAATAATCGATGCATCATTGACTGCATCTTTCGGAAGTATATATATACATATATAGAATAGATTTTTCTCAATAACCTTATTCATTGCTAACGACATTTATTCTATTGCCACCCTAGTAATGAGATCCTTTGCATAGACAATTTTTGCTTCTCTTTCATGTGAATTCATCTGACAAACTGTATTCTAAATGTGAAATGAAAATATTACGTTTTAGAAAATATTATTCAATCGTACAAATTTATTCAGAATAGATTCCTTCAGTTTGTATCAATAAGATGTGTATATACAAGAATTGTTGTCATCGATAAGTATCTACTGATTGATCAGCAACATTATTAAAGTAATAACGTTTGTAGATGTACGTAGGAAATAAGACTTGTGATATGCAGCAATTATGTTTCATTTTTTAATATTATCGATACTAGTTGGTAGGACATCAATTAAACTTGATGTCTACTATAGTAACAAACTAATGCATCACAACTATAATAGACTGAACTATATCGTATACTTTTAATAAATAATACGAAAGTTATCTATACAAAGGTTATATCAATGAGAAACGTAATAATTATTCATGAACTTCTCGATGATCTAACTAGATCAAAAATGAAAAATAGCGTGATAATCGCTGCCTTGACAACTAACATAGAACTCAACTGAAAATATCTAATACAATAAAACTAATAATATGAAAGCTTGTTACAATTTAATAATCTCTAGCGTAAACTTTTGAAAATTTTTGTTGAGTAATAATTCGCAGGTTATATTATTAGACTAGGATAATTCATTGATGTTAAAACAGAATTATCATTGATAAGGGGAAGCTTGCTAATACGTTAAATCCAAATTTTATAACAAAGTAGCGATCTAAAGTACTGACAATGTGAAATAATAAAAACATATTGTCATGATTTGTCTTAAGGAAAAAAACCAGCAGTTATATTAAAGTTAATAGAGATAGATATGAAAAAGAGATTTAAGCAAGGAAGTGAAAGTTGTCATTCCCGGAAAAAATTTGATATATCATACGTCATAAATATTATGTCACATCGACTTACTAATCCAGTTAGAATAGTACATTTCAGGTTTTTACTTAAAAATGAGTTGTTTTCTAATTTCTATTTTGTTAATAATTATTACAGTAAACTATTCAATAGTTGAATTCTCTGTAAGAATTTAAATCAATTTTTTAAGGATGTCCTTATGTAAATATGTTAGTATTACATTATCAAGCTAATGCAAATCGTATTTTTGACTATCTTACAAAACAAATTTTTTATAGGAAATGTCAAGGTATTTATTCGTGAAAGATTTGACTTTTTTATGACTGTGCTATTTTTTTTAATATACAGTCAATCGAAAATCTGATATATGAGACAAATTCGAAAGTAACGACTACTTGTGTTTTACCAAAGCTACTATCACGTGCCATCGAATGACAAACAGCCAGAACTGATTTTATTTCATAGAAAAAGTAATCACAAAATCAATTTACGAATTATTGTTAAGATATACGATGTTGCGATTGGGATCCATTGGATTAACAACTGTATTGTAAGGAGGAGGTGGTGATTCTTCGATAGGTACTGACCAACACATTTGCGGTTGCTGTAATTGTTGATGCTGTTGACGATTAGATAAAACAAGAACTTGCATAGGATATGGCATGATTTGTCGTTGAGCATACTGCTGACGTACACAATACCTCGCAATAGATATAAATAATATTACGCCAGCTATTCCAACGAACACCAAATAATATGAAGAAGAAAACATTGTGTTTTGAAGATTTGTTTACACAGGTCAGATGAACAAAATAGTAAAAAAAAAGTAATGAAATCTCTACGTTAGTCGATGGCTTGAAGTAACAGAAGTGACAGAAAAGGAAAAAAAAGATAAGTAAAGAAATTTCTTTTTTTTACATTTCTTTATGATTAACATACAGTGGATGAGTTTAATAATGTCATACTCGTAGAATTTTTTACGCGGGTTCTATTATAATTTCTGGCGACATATTATCTGCCGTCCGTTCGTTCGTCATTGCAAATAAGAATAAAAATTTACCTATTCTCCAGTAGTTTATCTATGGAATAAACTTTTTTTTGCTTTCTACTTCATAGATATTTCAACGTATACATTTATTCCGATTAATACAAACATTCGAATATGTATGGAATATTAAATACTGTACGATTTTTCATTGACAAAGCATTTTAGAAGAAAATCATTAAAATATGAACTCGTGTATGTAGAATATTTTGTTTCCTAAGGATATTAATGCATTTTCCTTCTCTTTTGCCATGTAGAAGATAGAAGATCGAGTATGCGCTCTAAAGATTCTCAGATGCTACTGTATCCAAGTCTAAATAGTTACTTTCAAGTAAATCTCGGCTTAAGTTGTCGTCAATTATTTTATTATGATAAAAACATTTTTTGAACTACATTTTCTCATTCTTACTCATTTCAGTCTATAGTTTATCAAATCAGTAAATAAAATCATGACATTACCCTGTTGTTGATGACATCTTAATCTATATATTACTGTAAATCTATGAAGCAAACTCCATTCAAGTATTAATGAGATTTTTTTTCTACAATTTATGTCTTTTAAGAACAAAATTTTGCTCATTACAGAGTTTGAATAACATTCACCTGTTTCTTATTTATGTTTCCGTATATACCTGTTCCAAGTACATTAGACTTTGATCCGTCAATCTAATTTATTTTCTTACTTGACAATAAAGTATGATTAACCAAAGTAATGAATTGATAAATAGTTTGACGCAGCAGGCATTGACTGATGAAAATAAAACAGTTATATTTCAAGTAATATTAACAACGTTAATTAATATTTTCTATAAAGTATGTTATTCTTCGATATAATCAATTGCGATTAAGTATTTCTATTTATAAACAGATTGACAATTTTCGATTATAAATATCGTTTAGCTAAGAATCAAAGTTGGATTATATTCAATAGATCAATTTTATGTTTCACAGTCCTTAGTATGCTCTTCTATATCTATTTTTATTAAATCTTCTTGCTTCATCCGACTTTATTAATTAGAAAAATATCTGATTTTTTTTATTCCTCAAGTATCAGACTTTTCAAAATTTTACTAAAAAAGCTGCTAGCGCAATCCCTAGCGGAATTAAAATCTGAAACAAGATCTAATTTTTGTCTCTACCTTCAAGAAAATAGCTTAATGGTATCATTATGAAATGGTTTTCACCTTATTATGTGACGTAAACGTATAGAAATACCGGAAAGAAATAATTTATATATTATGAACTCACATGATTAGCATTTTTACATCTGTGGAAGGTAACGAGTGCAAATTTCTATCCCTAAACACTTTAGTACTCCTTTTAAATCGTTTTTTACAAAATCCAATCACAGATTTTTTATTGAACATTATATTAATTCTAATATTTTATATAATTCACAAAATTTGAATATTCCGAAATGAATGATAGATTTTGGTGTGAGTTGATTTATCACGATAAGAAAACTTCAATTATCAGATTCTATTATCAGTTAAATAGACATGAAATGACTTTAAAGTTAATCATTATTATTCATTCTTGCATATTAAAATTAAACAATATAAGATTAATAATTATCTTTTCGTAATATTCTCTTTAATAAATGAAATGTTTTTCTTATACTTTGTTTTCATCGACAAACTTTTCCTTTACCGTTTGAGAAAAATAAAAAAAAAGTCATCAGTGCAGATCGTAATAGAGAAAGAGAAAAAAAAGAAAGAAAGAAAGAAACATAGACATGACACTGAAAGCCCTAAAGCATTGAATGTGTCCTCTATATAACTGAAGAAATGAAGAGAGCGAGAGCGATAGAGAAAAAATACGAGATAGCCGTATTTACAACCATACGTAATTCCCGATATGAAATAAGAAAATGAACATTTCTAACTTAGCGAATGGAGAGATAAAGAAAAAAAACAAACAAATAAAGAACGGATAATCATACAAACATCTGCATAGAAGGATAATCCCTGAACGAAATGAAAAAAAAAAATAATATAAACACGACACCGATTTCTTAAAGAACCGGACACGTAAAATAATAAGGAGAACTAAATATATTATTCAGTCACAACAACAACAGTTGTATTTGTTGTACATTCTTCATTTTCTTGTTGTTGTTGTTGATTTTGATTGTTGGCAATGCGTACATGAAGATCAGTAAATATCTGTTCAATATATTGCTTTAACATAATATCTCTTGTATCTGAGCTTTGAGAAACCTTTTTGTAATAGAAAATAAATAAATCATATATAAAGAATAAAATATATATTTACTGTGGAATAAAGATTTTCTAATTCATTAAGACGTTTATGAAGATCATCAGCAAGATCATTGATAACTGGTATACGATCATCATTGATAATTGATTCACTATAGAACAAAAACGAAATGAATATATATATACGTTTATATAATAATATTAATTTACTCTTCTTTTGTTTCATTCATTGTTGTTTGGGATAATGATGGTTGTAAAACTTTATGTATTTGTTTGATTTGTCTATAATCTGGTATTGATATACTACGACGTATTTTAATTTCTTTTTGATTATCATTATCATTTAATGTACATGCTTGTAATTCATTTGTTGTTTCTAATGAATCTGAACTTTCAACTGAACATGTACTTGATGAACGTTTGGTTGGTTTATTTGGTGATGATGGAATATCTTGTAGAAGTAATGGTTTTAAACCAAGTACAACTGTTCGATAAAAACAATCTTGTGCCCATTTTGGCATAAGATCGTTTGTTGTATTATCTAATTCACGTAATGGTAAAGATGAATTTGATGTTGAATGAACATATTGTTTTGTTTCATCATTTTCTTTTGTTTGATTTGTTTTTGTTGGAGATGATGTATTTGATGATGCTGATGATGATGATGATAATGGTGGATTAGGTGCAGTTGGTAGATTTGGTGGACGACGAGGTACACGAGAAATCTTTACTCGACGTAATGTTGCTGCTGTTTTTGATTGTGGTATACTTGTAGATGGTAAAACAAGATTTTGAGTTGACCGAGATTTAGTCATAGTTTTACTTGACGATAATGGACGAGTATCCATAGAAACAGTAGACGGAACACGACGTGTTTGAGAATTCATAGTAAGTGAAGTAGCAGATGTGGATGGTACAAACGTTGGTACTGGTGGTGGTGTAGAAGATGTTGCACCTTCTCGAAGTTTACTCATTGAACTTGATGTATGTGCTGCATAGGATGGTAAATAGGAATGCGATGATGATGATGATGTTGTATCTCCAGCAGCATTATTAAGAGAAAGAGTTGATGAACGAAAACGATCTTCAGATTGAGCTCGATTACCTAGATTAAAATAGATATAAATTAAGTTTATTTATTTAAATCATGTTTTTTTGTTTCATCTGGGCAGATGTGGATATGATTATTTCTATACGAGACTCAGACAAAGCACTGTTAAGCGGCTCCCACTCAGAATTTTCATTTCTTTTTTTGATTGAAAAATCTTCAATGACCTACCACGAGTTTTTCGTATGGTGGATGATTTTGGTGGTGCTGTTCTCGGATCCATCGTATTTATTATTTGAGATCGACCATTTTTAGTTGTTCGAATAGATATAGACATATCTTCTTGTGTTGTATTTGCTGATGTTGATAATGATTCAGTTATTCTGAAAAATAATATTTATATTTAATGAAGTTCGATTTCATTGTCTTACGTTATTTCTTTCGATACTGAACGAAATCGAGATGAAACACTTTTTCGTCGTTGAACTTGACGTGTTGATATTTCATCATCATCAATTGTTGTATTTGCTGTTAAATTTTCATGATCATAATTTTCTTTGAAAAATGAATATGTTTTTCCATTTGTACTATCTGTAATTGTTGCTGTTGTTGGATCATCATCTAGAGAAATTCATCTTGAAGAATTTTATCATATAGAGAAAAATAACAAACCTTCATCAAGAAAAACTGACTCATCATCTTGTGAACTCGCTGAACGAATCATTTTATCAGATAAACTAAAATAAGACAAAGAATTCAGAATTAATTTTATATTTGATAAGAAATAATATTTACTCTTCATTAATAATATCAGGTAATTGTGGACGAGTAAATTTTGATTCAAATTGCTAAAATATCATTTATTATTATTATCACTTGAAAGATATCAACAAATAATACGAACTAGTAAACGAGGTTCAGCAGTTGCCCATAAACTTCGTTGACGTTTCGATTGTGGTTGATGTTCTTCAATAATACTAGGTGCCTAAATTTAGTACAAAAAAAAGCAAAGAAATTATATTCAACAAAATCAATTAGTTAATTAAAAATCTACCTGTGAGATTGATTCTTCTACCTCAGTACTAAAAAAACAAACAAACATGTATATTTTTATTATCCAAGAAAAAAAACTTACATTTCAAGGTCATTCGATTTCGCTAATGGTACCGATTGTAATCTACAAATCGCTGGTACAATAGCTAATTCCGCAATATTCCAAACAAACATACAACTAAAATTCTTATGATATGAATGACAAAAGAATCTTAAAATTAATTTTACCTATCACCCGAAATCGTATATAAATGATGACCATCATGACTAAATTTTAAATCTGTAACTATTTCACTATGACCACAAAGTGATGCAACACATTCAGTAGTTAAGATATCCCATATATAAACACATTTATTTGAACATGATGTTGCTAAATATCTTCCCGATGTATCAATATCGATTTTAAGAAGATAACCTGTATCATCATTCATTGAACCTTTCATTGTTCGAACTCGTTTACCATCTTGAGTATTATAAACTCTAAAAAAAAGCACAGAATAATAAGTATTCGTCCATCAATCTGTATCATATATATCTGCCTCTTCTTATTCTCTACTGTATATTTCTGAAACTCGCTGTGAGATAATCTCTATTTATTGAGAATAATAATCAGAATCTAGTTTAGTGAATATTCCTGTTAGTTAGTATTTATAATCTATTATCTAAGAAATAACCTTATCATTCGGTCTTGACAGGCTGTATTAACAAGTTCACGTGTGTGATCAACTGCTAAATCATAAAATGTTTGTTTTTCGACTATATTATTCGAACGAACAAATTGATATTTTCCATTTTCATTCTACGAAAGAAAGAAAAAACATCGAAATTCATTATTATTATTTTTTTCTTAATTAAAAATATGATTTTTACTTTAGAAAGTGATCGGAATATTAATGATTTATCAGCACTACATGAAATTAATTGTAAGTTTGATGTTATTGATGATACTGTAAAACGAACAGCTGTTATGGCAGCTGAATGATCATCTAATGTTGCAACTAATTGATAATCTTTTGTTATATCAAATACATGAACAAAACGATCTCGACTGCTTGACGCAAGAAAAGTTACACCTAAATTTAAATAGAAAATAGAAAATTTTGTTTTCGATAAATTATTAATACAAACCCATTTCAGATGATTGACCATAATCAACACTAAGCACTTCACTATCATGTGCTTCAACAAGTGCAATTTGTTTAAATGTTTGCATATCCAATATACGAATATTTCCATTTCGATCACCAATTGCTAATGATAAACCATCAGGATTAATTTTCATACAACGACCACCAATTTTTGGAACAAATTCAGGTCGTTCTAGAGAGAAATAGTTATTTTTATACTAATGTAATTTATTCCGATCATATAGTTATATAATCTATTAGAATTTCAGTTCGATAGCAAATCTCATTAGTTTCGATCGAAATAGAAACCATATGCCGATAAATTTAAAATTCACAGAATGATTATATTATATTATTTTTTCTTTAAAATCCGGTAATTAAGAACATCAGTCTAATTCCGAAAACCTGAAATGACATATATTAAAATAATTGATAATTTCCTTCTATATAAGTAGAAATTCTAACCCTTCAGGGCTTTTATCAGAATACTATATCATATATATGTATATATAGATAGACAAGAATACCAGTGACATTGAAAGGAAATGCTTGAAAAGACTCCATCATTAATCATACAGAAAATCATTAACCTTTTGTTTACAGACCCATATATGTATATATACAGGATATGCTGTACTCCGATCACTTCCGTTACAATGAAGAAGTTTCCGCTTACATATAGATTATGAACATTCGCAGACATACAACCGATACTTTCCAATCTGAAATCAGTTACATTGCACTATACGACGATGAATTGAAGTGAAATGACTTAAAGTTAATGACGTTTACCCTGGAACTATCGTCTAAATTACCTTGATCTTTATACACTAATTCTATGTCAATCTACTTTGACTGTATTCAGAATTAATATATCAGATGACAGAACAATATTATTCTACTGACCTCTACTAAACAGATATGTCATAAAAGCATCGTATTACTGTATAGCATCTTTCTGTATTTATTTATTAGCTCCTTTATCAAAATCTGCGACGCAAGTATTAGATAAAGCTGATACAGAATTAAAAAACAAAAAATTAATCGTTTCGTATTAACTACATGAAAAACAAGTCATCGATGTAACCTCTAGGAAAATGCTGATCCTATAATGCGGATATGAAATAAATCGTATGAACTATATATCTAATACTCTATTCAATTCAAATACAATAACTAATCTTGAGCTTTTATATAAATACAGCTATGTAAACAATAAAAAGTAGAAATAACATAATCTACATATAAATTACGTCATATTCTGATTAAATCAAAGATTGAATATTTTTATTCTAACCTTGAGTTGTCTGAATATCACAAAGTTTTGAATAATCTTCATCTAAATAGACAATTTTCATTAATTGTCTACTAAATATATTTGCAACTGGTGATGGAGCAAAATATGAATCAGCTTCACCATGATTTAAAGACCAAAAACGAATAGTATTATCAGATGAACATGTTATACATGTTAGATGTCGAAGAATTGAGGGTGATGAATTTGTTCGAGAATAAGTCTTAAAAATAATTATTTTTTTTTATTTACAAAATAAATAATAATAAATCTTACTTCAATTCCCCATGCACATCCTGAATGATACATGTGAGAATCACGTTTCTTTATTGATTTTTCATTTTTTATATCCCATATGTAAAAACTATGATCATTATAGAAACATGTTAACTAGAAGAAGAAAAAAGAAAAGAAAAAGAGGAAGTGCTTATATAAACATATAATACAAAGAAAATAATTAAACGAACCATTGATTTATCTTCATCTAAACAAACAGCAATTGTATCTGGAAAACACATATTTTGTTGTTGAGGATATGTCATTTGACTATAAAATTAAATCAAATTAATAATTGAAATAAAAAGAATTGAATTTTTATATACTCAATCGATGTTATAAAACTAATATCAACACCCAAATAATGTGGTAAAGGTATAGACATAATATATTCAAGTGTTTGGGGTGAAAATATATATATAGCACCTTTAGCACATCCAACAACAAGATATATATCACCAATAGCTAAACAATTTGTTTTTTCCTACAACACAAAAATAATAAATAGTTTATTTCATTTAAGAAAAATTATTTTTATACTTGAAGATCTCGTTCACCACGCAATTGTCGATGTTCATCAAATTGACAAATAAGACCATTGGCAGTAATCACATAAGTCATACCAGCACAATCACCACGTCCGCAAACAACATCTGTAAAGAAATTATCTTTACGTTCAGCTAAGATTGCATAACGACCACGTAATGGTACAACTTCAAGCTAGATTAAAAATAAATAAACATTCCATTTGTTTTTATTTTATAATGAAGCAAAATATTATACCGATGCTGTCGATATTAAATACCAAAATTTAACATGACGATTACCAACTGTAACAAAATAACTTCCATCTTCAGCAAAAGCAATACGACGAATCTAAGACAAAAATATAATCATATATATATGAATATAATCTTCAATTTTTCTTACAGAACATGTACATTTATTTGAAGCAAGTTTTTTCTTATCTCTCCAATTCCATACATATATATTTCCATCATGTAAAGAACCAATTGAGACTAGACGATCAACATTAGGTGAAAAACACTAAAAAAAGGAGAGAAAAAATTAATTATTTAAATCTTTGCTTGAATAATTTCAATTTTATGAAAGCTTTCCACAAGAGAAAATTTACACAAAAGCAAACAACCATAAGGATTTTTTATTATATAATAATGAAATTCTACTTACTACTGAATCAATTGCAAATTTATGATCACCCAATTCGATACAAACAGTTTTATCACCAGTTAAATCCCAAACACGTACTTTTGGATCATGTCCACACTGAAAATATTAGTTTTTATTTTCTACCGAACAAAAAAAAACTGTTCAATTTACTTCTCCAGTTGCTAAATATCGACCATCAGGAGAAAGTGATAATGATGTAATAGCTTTACGAGCAGTGTTAATAATAAAATCTTGCTTTTGTGTATTTATATCATAAAGAACAACAGTTGAACTAAATATATATATACATATATATATATTAAATGAATTTATTTAATATAATTTTACCCAGCAGCATATGCTACTGTTGAATGATCTTGGCTAACAAGTGAATTTGAAATTGATGTAAAACCAAGAACATGTTCAAGATTAACTTGAAACTAAAAAAGTAAGGATTTTATTTCTATGATATAAATGAAATATAATCATACTCGAGATGTACTCGATGATATATCAGATCGTTGAGCTTTACGTTTCAATGCTGTATATGATGTCATATTTCCAAGACTTGCTTGTCTACGACGATTTATATAAAGTGGAGATGAAGAATGAGTATTTTGTCCAAATAGGGCAATATTGCCAGTTGTCAAAGGTGTTGAATGCTGATAACATTCACTAATTCGCTTATTGCTCAATCGAGTTTCGTCTAAATGAATGATACATAAAAAAAAATGAAGTAATGATAAGCAAATACCAAGATAAGAATGCATATACATATACAAATACATATACATACAACACAATATTGCAAAAGAAGCTATTATCTGCTGACCTCATACACAGCAGTAGTTATCCTTGAAACTTAGTCACTTATATATTTATAAAATAAAATATACATAGACCATGCAAACAAAATGTAATCATACAAACATATGTTTATACACTAACTAATCATTATCCACAAGTATACAGTCGTCCTTTCTCTTTCTTTCTGCTGCTGTTACTATTCATATATTGATTGTTTGAGGATGATGAAAAGAAGGTCATATGGCATTGACACTGCCATCATCGATTGAATGAAATAGAAAAGAAATATTAGTACTAAACTAATCCATTTCTAAAGAAAACTCATCACTAATAATTAGAAGATTATCACTAACATATAAACGAACGATAATGATCTAAAAAAAACAGATTAGGCATACTCGTTGGATGAATATCGATGCTGTAGTGATGACCCATAGAATATCTTTTTAATCTGATAGTTCAAGGAGATAGATATATATAAAAACTGTTTATATATGAATATATAATTAATAGAGATTATACCGTTATTTCTTAAAGTTGAAGATTTAATTAAACGTTTAACTTTAATTGGTTTATTTAATTTAAGTGTTGAAGACCTTGTTGCCAATCGATAATGATGTGTTGACGATGATGATGTTGATGTTGACTGACGACGAGTTTCATGTTTCTTATGATGCATCGAACGACAACAATAACAAAGATGGGCACAACATGTGAAGAGAATAATGTAAGCAGAAACAGAATACGAGTATATAAGAAATTTGTCTGACTGACTGACTAATAGACAAACACTATCGATAGAGATATAACAAGTTTGAATCTAGAGAGACAGAATAATAAAAAAAAATAATACGAGATGGAAAATGTCAATGTAAATGAACAATAGATGTGACTGACGATGTATCGTGGGTGAGTGTTAAATGACACGTTCAAAATTCAATTCATAATCGAGTGAACTTTTTTCTTTTGAAAAAAAACGTAGGAGAGGCATATTTATTTAGTGAATACTTAGAAAAAGTAAAATGATCAAACACACATAATGTGTACTCGTAAATAATAAGTACGTAACTACTTTCTATATATCACACAAAAAAAGAAATCACGAGATTTAATTAGTGTTTATATCTATATCGCGAAGATAAAGAATACAATTAATGTTTCGATCATTAGTTCAATGTATTGAGAACAATAAATCTTAACTGTCTAGAATAATATGCGTTTTATTTCTCTCTTATGTGTTCCGCATCCATGCAAATTTATAATAATGAAAACGAATATATATATATATACATATGAATGTATCGAATAACACTCACCTAAAGAACGATGTATAAGCCCAACAGCATTATTAAAACAATATGTAGAAAAAGAGACTGGTGCTTGACCGGATAAATAGCCAGAAGGCGGTCGGCTATTGCCAGCTGTTGTCATAATCGTAATTTAAGACAAAAGAGAGTAGAGAAAACTCACTATGTCGATTATTATTATTATTATTTTTTAGCTGACATGTTTTACTGCCAAATGTTTATTCTTTTATACGTGTATACACTTCTATCGTTCGGTTGGTATGTTGTAGTTGGCGTGAAGATATCACTACCATCACATACCTTTTCTTTTCTTTTTTTTTCTTCTTGCTCTTTCTTCGTCTTCTCTTCTCTTCTCTCTATTTTTATGTGCTCATCGTTGCTGCGAGACGATGAAGTATAGTAAACGTATATATATATATATACAAATGACTATATATATATATGTACAAGTGTGTTCCTTTTGTGCGACTGTATGTCACCTAGGGATTCACCTAATATACATACAAAAGAGTAACGTTGTCATATATACAGTTGAACACCTTTTCTTTTCTACTTTTAATCATTTGGTATGGACAGTAAGTTGAGAAGGAATAAAAGCGCGTAGGTTGATGAAAAAAGGACAGGGCGGATCAAGTTAAATGTTCAATTCATTCGTTTACTTTCGCCTAATCAAGTATGCATTTTTTCTTCGTTTATTATATCGAAGATTTACAAGACGTTCTCATGGGTTATTAAACGAGTGTTCAATATTGTTTACATATTGATAATGAATACACATAAGAGGATTCTATTAAATATAACGAAATGAATTTTTAACACTTAATCTTTACGAAAAGAATTCTAGACAGTGAGAACACACTTGAGAAAAAAAAAGTTGAAGAAAAAAATATTTTCTCAAAAAGTTGTCAAGACTAAATCTTAATTGACAAATCAAGATCAAGCCAACGGCAAGTAAAAAACAGAAGCTAAAACGAGGAAACAATGAACAGAGGGAGGAAAGAATGCATTAGATTAGTTTGGTTGAAATTTTCACGAATGAAAATTAATTGCATATTTTCAATATTAATTATACAACAAAAAAATAACATATATATCATTCTCTTCTATATTATAGACAGAATTCAATACTATTTCAAATTCTACAAAAAAAACTTTTAAAAACTAGATTAAAATTATTTTAATATAATAAGGCGACATCTATCGTGTATGTCATATGCAAATGAATCTATATAAATGATGCATATATATTTATAAAGAAATATTTTTATGATAATTTCACTCTACAGTTATTGTGTGTTTTGTTCTCTATTTATAACAGTTCAATAATCACTTTACTGTAAATGATAATAATTATCATGAATATCATATTTTTATTATATCTACTACAGTCGATTTATTCATTTCATTGAACTTATAGAAATGTTAATCAATAGTTTCTATTGTATGAAAAATTTATTCAATTACTTTGAATTCAATGATTATCTTAGAATCTGTTTGATGGACTTAATTTAATTGCTATCGACATGAAAAAACACTAATGCACATAGATATTTACTATAGAAGATTATTATAAATCATATAAAACGATCGAGCTTTTAGATGTATTCGAATCTAAAAGGAAACTATTTCTATTTTGACATAACAATAAGTGTCTATATAAGAAATAAATCGATAGATTTATGTACGTCCCTTTTTGATGTAGTTTAGATTCTGTGAGCCATGTTAAATTAACATCTAAAATAAATGAAGCATTTGTTAAGGTTAGTATTAGCATAGATATTAATATAAATATTGCTAGTAGTAGAATAGAATATTGTTTAATAAGATTTTATATGCTTGCGTTATTAACAAAGCATTGAAATGTGTCTCTGTGAATTTTGCTTAAGGTCTTTCATTTACTTTCAATGCAATCTTTTCATCGATAAATTATTCTTTTAAATTTTGTGTTCATTTTATGTGGAAGTACGTCAGTACAAAATAGATTCACACCTTCGACTAATAGTTAAAAACTTTATAAAAATAACAAAAAGATATCAAACAATATAGTCGAGAAATGTCATTATACACTATAAAGTATAGAAGTCCAATTTTAATTCTGTACGTTTGATTGACGTTCGATATTAAATGTCGATGATAAAGATGCTCTTCTGTTATTATTATTACCTGTTGCATGATCTCGTTGTTGATGATTATTATTATTCTTATTAACAGCTATATCGCATGGTGTAAATAATTTATTACTTTTACAGATTCTCAAATGTTCTTTGTGTTCTTCGAAATCTTTATTCCATTCACGTACATTATAAGTACTTTTTGTATTTGCAATTCTATCTCGATAATCCGTATTAGTATTATTTTGTGATGAACGTAATGATTGTTGACGAGGAGGATTGGAATTTGTTGATTTAGGTGGTGGATGAGCTGTTTTCGATTGCATAATACTAAGTAATTTACGTAATTTAAAATCATTTTCTTTTGCAATTTGTTTATTTTTTTCTTTTGATTGTTTATTAAAATGTTGTGTAAGATGTGGATAATCTGCGGGTGTAGTCGTATCTAAACCGCTACGACGTTGCATTTCACCAATTTTTTTTAAATGAGCTTGTTGTTTACGATCTTCACTAGATACTTGTATCCGTGAAAGACGATTAACAGTCACATAACCAGCCATAATTATTTCTAAAAAAGAGAAAAAAAAAGAAAAATTCAATTGCTATTTTCTGACATCTCTTATCCATCAGAGGCCGCTATATAATCGACCTTTGATATCGAATGGAGTATATGAATACTAATCGCAATTTTGTGATCAATGATATTTATATATGTATATATTTAAAGTTAGTTCATAAGAAGTTACAAACTTATATGCAAACACTTGGAATAAAAATAAACATAGAAGTGTTTTTTTTTTCATTTCAAACTTTTTAATAGAGACGTTCGTCGTTGCATAAAGAAAAGAAAAAAAATTGACATATGTACTTCAAATCGTTCTTTTTTTTCTGCTAAAGAAAAAAAAAGAATTTATTGATAGCTAATGTCCAAAAACTAATCTTCTATATTTTACTAATATAGATGGAAAATGATGATGATATACCAACATTAGTTGATGAAACAGCTATTTCACCTTCTAAAGTACCTGTATCTATTTTAACTGGTTATCTTGGTATGCTTTGAAAATATATAAATCCATTATTCTTTATGATTATATTTTAAAGGTGCTGGTAAAACAACATTACTTAATTATATTCTTACAGCAAATCATCAGAGACGTATTGCTGTTATTCTAAATGAATTTGCTTCAGGTAGTGCTATGGAACATCTTCAATTAACATCAACAACCGATGACAACAATGGTAATGGTCGTCAACGATACGAAGATTGGCTTGAATTACGTAATGGTTGTTTATGTTGTTCTGTAAAGTAAAGTATTGAAATGAAAATTTCAAACAAATAGAAGAAGAATTTCTTTTTTATACTATTTGAATAGAGATGTGGGTGTACAAGCTATTGAACAATTACTTGAAAAACGTCGAAATCATTTTGATTATATTCTATTGGAAACAACTGGTGTTGCAGATCCACTTCCGATTGTTAAAATGTTTTGGCTTGATGATGAATTACATAGTGATTTAATTCTTGATGGTAGACACAAATAAATACTTTTGCAAATTCTAATATCGTTTTTTTATTTAGGTTTAATAACTGTTATTGATGCTTATCATGGACTAAAAGTAAAAATTTAACTAACAATTTTATCTTGCATTATACATATAGAATTATGCAGATGATCGTCATCAAGAAAAAGCATTATGGTCAAGGTAAATAATAATAATAGTAAAATAATGATTTAATATTTATATAAATTTATTATAGACAAGTAGCAATGGCGGATGTTATATTGGTGAATAAAATTGATTTAGTTTCTGAAGAAGAAAAGGCAAAAATTCATTCACTGATTAAGTAACTAATAATAATAAATAAGTTTAAATTTTCAAACTTTTTCTCTTTTAGATCAATTAATATTACTGCTCAAATCTATGAAACAACACGATCATGGTAAATCTCATTTTTTGTTTTTATTCTATCGAAAATTCATTCAATTAATTCAATAGTATTGATCTATCTCTTATACTTGATCGACATGCGTATAATACTGATACTCCACCTGATTACCTTTTGAAAAATATTCACGAACATACATCAACATTAATTCCACATGGTCATCAAGTATATATCATATAAAAATATTGTTTCGTCTTTAATGAATTTCTTTTAGACACTTAATTCTATAACAATTGAATTAAATGGTAAATTTGATTTTAATAAACTTGATCAACTTATTATTCAACTTTTATGGAATGAACAAAATACAACTCAAGAAATTGTTCGCATGAAAGTATAGAAAACAATTCTTTTTTCGGTGTAGTAATTTTTAATATTTGATCATTTTTTAAAGGGTGTTCTTTGTCTACATAATGAATCAACTTATAAACTTCTTCAAGCTGTTGGTCAAATGTATGAATTTATTGCTACAAAGGAAAATCATAATGATAATTTACGAAATTGTCTTGTTCTTATTGGATCAAATCTCAATCAAGAATATTTAAGAGAACAATTTCAACAATGTATTACATAGAGATTTTTAAATCTTGTTATCTTTCTTCAATAAAATCATCATTGAAAAAAAGAACATTATTTTTGTCAAGGTTTAAATATGGTACAACTATTTTTGTATCAGCATATGTTCTAAATTGTTATGTAATGATTTCAAATTTGAATAGTACAACAGATTTATTTTGTTTAAATAATGATAATAGCCTTTTTGAATGTTACGGTATAAGTAACATATCGTTGTGAATGTCTACCGGGGCTCATCTATCTTGAGAATAGGAATATTTTAAAAATGATATTATTTTAAAGACAAAATCAAACTGAAAAAAATACAAACAAATAAAATTGTTCGATCTAATGATAATTTCAAAGTAAAACTTGAAGATGATAATGATTGAGGAGATCGATTTAAATTACCATCACGTAAATATAATTTTGCTTCTTTACTTTGTACACTATGACCATCCGAACAACGATATGAACCACTATCACTTAGACGAGAAGAAACAATATGTAAAACAGTTACTGTTACATTGGGTAATTCAGTTGATGTTGTTATATGACTTACATCGGATAGAAGTGGTTTACCATCTATTGAAAAAATAGAAAAATAATTTTTAATATTGATTTTCTTTCTTACCTTTTAACCAAGTTACTTTATCACGTCGTACACGATATTGTCCAGTAAAATTACAATAAAATTCTGTTTTATCACCAACAGAAACAAGAACATCACTTGGTTGAATATTAACAATAATGTCTAAAAAATATTTTCATAGATTAATTTTATCCATTCAATATATCTGTTTATTCTCGAATTTTTACTCAACCATAATTATCTTTTCTGTCTATAAGATAGATGTCTGTTCTCTCCTCTCTTCTTTTCTTTATTTTTTATGTTCATATAAACATTGAATACATCTGTGTATGTATATATCTGAAGTAATCATTTTTTTTTCTTTGATCAATTCTTTGTGTTTTACCTTCAACAATAAGTTTAACATTCGATCGAGCTGAAATACGACCATCTTTGTCTACAACATGACATTGATAACGAGCTGCATCTGATAAATGTATATCACTTATATGTAAATCCCATTTTGCAGGCGAAAGACCATGATCAAAACTATAATAAGCAACACTTATACGTGGATCTTTTGTAATTAAATATTTGCCAACACTTAAAGATGATTGACCATGATTCATTATTTTATACCACATTACCTATAGAAATCATATTGCAATAAAAATTCTATTTTGTTTTCATTAACTTACTCTTTCAGGTTCCATAATGAGTAAAATAGCTTTACAAGGTAATATCACTGATTGCATAACTACACTAGTTATAGTATATTCTTGTTCAGATACAGTCGATAATTCAAATGGTTGTTGCTCAATAGCCAGTATAGAATGAGCACCTATATGAAGAATAAAAAGAACAATATATGAAAAACCGGACATTGCATGTCTTTTTGTTTTAGTTATTTCTAAATGAATATGAGGGAAGAAATAATGATCTAACTTCTCCTCCTCTTCTTCTTCTTTTTTTGTTCTAATAGATCATAGACTGTGATTGTACAATTTCTTTGAAATTAGACACGCAAGATGTTTCAAGCAGTATCCATTGTCTCTTGAATTATTTTTTTTTGTTGCTCTTCTCTTTACTACTATATAGATATATTAACGAATCACTTGAATAATATGTTACTGAAATTTGAGTAGTAAGAATACTCTTAATGATGAATATATATATTGAAAAGAATAAAACGGAAGATGAAGAAGTAAGCTTGACGCCGTTGGACTGATTGTATTGTTTGACGTGAATATAGCTTATCTACTCTATTGGACTATACTCTCAAAGAATTGTTTCAATTTGAACAATAAGACGACATTCATTACGTATACAAGACACGCTACTCTTTGACCATTGATTGAAGAATCATTCACTATTAGCATATGGTGCTCAATAAACGATCACCATGTGACGTCATCTCACTTTTGTATCAATAGATTTCTTTTTTATGATAAAGTTCAATATCTAATCATTACTTACAGATAAATAAGATCAAAGCAGCAAAGTTAACCATCCGTAGTTCATGCTTAATGATTACATTTGAATAGTGTATTTATTTAATTCGTTATTCTCGTTGATGTTTGATTCTTTGTTGGAGAAAATAGATGTGATAGTAGTAGTAGTAGTACTCTAATAATTATTTGCGTGTGTGTAACCCATCTACTATCGAGGGACCATTTTTATGCCAATTATGATAGGCGAATGAGTGAGAACGATAGAACTGAACAGTTCCTTCTTTCTTTTCTCTTGTCAAAGAGAGAACAAGAGAGAGAGAGAGAGACAGACAGAGGAGAAAAAAAGAAAGAGAAAAACGAATGGTTATGATGACGAAAAAATGACTCTATATGAACATGAATATATAAACAAAAGTAAATTGAAACATAAAGAATAAAAAGACAGATAGACAGATATATAGATATTTAATATGATCAATTGTTTAATCATATGGAAAAACGTATATATATATATATACAATGTTCTCTTAGTCATTTTCTTTGCTTTATAATGCTAGTTTAATTGTACATGTCCTTGGTTATCGTAAGCTTAATACTTAACACTATTGAAAAAATTTTCCGAAAAAAAAACGTGAAAGACAAGCTTGTCAATCATTATTGTGATTGTTCGTTAACCCGTAGGAAATGCTTAGTTACTATATTAAATGATTAAAAAATATCCCACTGAAATGTATAGTTTTAGAAAGGAGGCGAAAAAAAAAGAAGTCGTTCTTATCCATTTATCATATGTTGACATGTGACAATACGGTGATAAAAACAGCATGTTAAATTATGATTAATTCAAACTAAATAATCTATAGATTATTTTTGTTCTTTTTCTGGTCAATCAGTATGAAAAAAGAAATTCTTTTGGAGTTGTTTCCATTTCTTCCTTGATAGTTAGCTTCTACTGACCTCTTATTCATCCCTAAGGCATGCTCTCTGATGATCAGGGGATAGTCCGAATGATTGCATCATTGCATTACTGCTTTGTCATCGCCATAATTTTCATTAGTCATCATCTTTTTCTATGTTTCAAGCTGATGATGTCAAAATCACGCATTGCCTTTATTATTTTTCTCTTGTCTTATAATTTGATGGTTTATTCGAAACGCGCGCGAGAGAAAGAATACACATATATGTATCTAATAAAGTTTTCCAAATAAAAGAGATTGATTGTCAACCGGAAACGGATGCATAGTATCTCGCTTGAATTCTAATTAGTTTATATATTTATGGATAACTAGACGAAAATAACAACAAGGAAGTATGTTCGAATAACTTTTACCGATTTACTCAATACGTTTTTTTTCTGTATAACCTTGAGGATCAATATCGAAAAAAAGAAAATTAAGTAATATAATATAATTTAATGTCATTGTATTAAGATTTCTATTCAATATTTTCATTAAATTGTACGAAAAGAAGCGGATGCTTCTCGTCTCAATCAGTATGATGTTCAATGATGAAAAAAAAAATCATGTGTGATTTTAATGAATGCAGAAAAGGAAAAGAGGGTAAATGAAACAAAGAGGGAAAAAAGCCGAGAAAAGAAAGAACGAACGATAATTGGCATTTTCTTTTTCTCATTATATTGAAAAGCCCCAAGGGGAATTTGCTTGAATCTTATAATCATTCATATTCTAAGCTCTATTGTTAGGAAAAATATTTCTTATATAAAAATTTTTCAGTATAATTTGTGTGAAATATAGTAATTATTTAGATGTTCGAAAGAATTTATTGTGTATTTGATGTCAATTAACAGATTGATTAAATAAAATTTATGATTTTATTACAGATGACTACACGAAACATTTATTTAATTAAGTAATTGATTGTATGATCAAAAGAATATCTTGTTTCTTGATTTGCTTTGAGCTCACATATATAAGGGCTTTTATTTTCTGTTACGTTAATATCTATCGTTCAGTTTCTAAGGATTTATAAAATCCGTATCTTATTTTAATTAATACAAAAAAACAAGAAAATATTATAATTCTCCTGTCACTCAAAACTAATATTTTGTATTTTTCATAAGTCGATTTGCATTAGTTATTAATATTTCAACATGTTCACCTCGCGTATATCAATTATGTCTTTTTCAAAGAAGCCTTTTTTTGTCAGATATCAATGCTACGTTTATGACGCACATCAATCAAAGGAAAGTAAATACTTGTCAATAATTTGTCTTGTATATATTCACATATGTATCTCATATCAATCAGTTTGAAGTGCATTCAGATACATGTGGTAATAATGCACAAACTACATCAGCATTAAAAGCGATCTGTTAAATCGAAATTTATTTTTATCATGAAATTGATATCAGGGACGTGACACCCCTCATATGGATTTCCCTTTCTAAAAAAAATTCGTTTATTAAAGTAAGAAAATACTAGAAAATGTTTTAGAAAAAATATATCTTTTTCTAATTGTTTAATAACATAAGAAGGTATTAGGAAAATAAAAACTAAATGTTTTTGTTTTCTTTGTTATTTTGTATCAGTACCAGTTTTAAAACGCATTGCATGTTGAACAGTTTTCGTTAATAATAAGTCTAAATCTGGTGTCGGTAAAACATTCTCATGTGGTAATGCCATACGACGAGGAAAAAATATATAATCAAGCTATAAAAAAATAAATCGAATAGAAAATAAGAAGAATATAATTAGATTTAGTTTTCACATACTGGATAATTGAAAAAATTACAAACATTCGATGTATAAACATCAGCAAAACGTGCTAAACGTCGATGAAAATATGTTGGTACTGTATGTGTACGAAAGATAGAACCAAAATAAGGATTAAGTAAATCACGAGATTTGTCTCTTTAAAAACAAAATAAAGATATTTAATGAAGAGATAAATTTATAGATTTTACCTTTCTGCATCTTGTTCAGCAACCCAACTTTTCATTAGAATATCAGCTTCAGCACCTGGTATAACCTTAGAATGAAAAATTCATTTTCTCATTCTATTTTGTTTGACTTCAATGTAAACTTACTTGTAATTGATCGGTAAGCCATTGAAGAACAGTTAACTAATAAAATAAATAGAATTTATATATTTTTTTTATCAAAATATTATATCATATACCCAACGAATTGTTTTTTGAAATGCATCAGAATTCATAATATTTATTTCATCCTAGAAGAACAAAAAAAATAATTAAAAATCTTGATTTTTGTATATGAATTTCTTACTTCAACTTCTTCTAAAATCGCACCTGTTCTCCATCCATATTTAAGAAATAAATCCTGAAAAATTTATAATTCAATATCATTTATTTATTCTATAGAAACATTAATTTACTGCTAGATCGCCATATATATGATCACCAATATAAAGAACATCATTTCCTTTCCAATGTGTCATTTCAATAAGATTTGTTAGATTACCCTTAAAATAAAATAAAAATTTTCATAATACAAAAAATTCTTTTCAATTCACTTCAACATAAACTTTTCCATGTTCTAATTTTGATACACGATCCCATGATTTTGAATTTTGCTTTACATCAATTTCACGAAATGGTCTAAATAGAGACAAGACTAATCTAATATGTTTTTTTTCCTATAATCTAAACCTTTTTTGTCCACTAAAAAATGATGGTTTACGAGCTTGACATATGATAACATCAAAATAATTTCGCCAATTATCTCCAAGTAAATAACTCATGCCATGATTTACATACCAATACGCACTATTTGTTATTAAAAATATTTGTTTATTTGCATCATGAAGTCGTTGTAAAAATGGTTTTAAATGAACATTCTCTTCAAAATATTTTTCTAGTTTAAAAATAAAAATAAAAAAATTCATGAATATATCTATTTTTAAGTATAACTTACCCACATTTTGTCCAACTATTTTATGCATTTCTCCACTTTTATGAAAAGAACCTACTGCTTCCTAAATAAAAAAGAAATAATTGAATATTTTGTTTGCTATATTAATTATCAAACTAACTCGAACGTCATAATGTACGTATTCTGCAGCAAATGGAATACTATTATCTATGAAATACTGAACAAAAACATTTTAATTAAATTAAAAAATGCGATCTGTTTTTATTTTCATTACCTGAGTAACATCACGCAGGAGTGTTATTTCAGGAATTGAAAAAATATCTACGAATTGAAACATATTCGATGTTCTTCCTAAATAACCAACGACATCAATTGATAATTTAGTACCATGATGAGCAGCTAGAACTTCTTCATCTGGTACTGCACGCATACCACTAATATTCAGAAATTTAATATATATATCTATCTATACAAATTAATAATTACTTACTGATAAACAGTACCTAATTGAATATTATGATAGCTATCAACTTTCATTAACCATCCACGTTTTATATCTAAATGAAGACCACGTGCACCCATACCAGGTCGATAACAAAAATTCATTATATCATCTGGATACTTAAGAAAGTAAAGTTTTTTGTTTAAAGAAATCTTATAGAAAAAACTCTTACTCTGAAATTTTTTACGAGAAATGTTTTTGCACTATCATAAATTAATGAATGTAATGTTGGTTTATAACGTGCTAATGTATAATCTGAATTCAAAAATATATATTTATTCTATTTTTTCACATAATAAATAGAATTACGAACCAAAATCAAAGCCATAAACATTTATTTTTTGTAAGTCTAATTCATTGTTAGCAAATATTCCAAATGGATTTACTTTCTCAGAATAAGGACTATTTGAAGCTAATTAAAATAAAAGAAAACTTAGAAGATTTAATAAGGAAAAAACAAATTAATTATACCTAGAGATTCATGTTTTAATAATTCATAAAGTTGTTGTAAATCTTGTAATTGTCGTATTTGAGTAAATGATCGTCGTGGTGGAGTAAATAATATTACTGAGATTAATCGATAATACTGAATTTGATTGTTAAGCATTATAAAAAGCTATGTACAAAAATGAGATTCTGTATGTGTTATGTTGTATTGGATTATAATGAGACTCAGCGGTGCCACACAGCTGATCAATTAATACAACCAGTTCACATACTGATCGACAGAGGTCTATAGAAGGCAATTCTAATACAAACAAGTAATATACGAGAAAGAAAAGTAAAAGTATTGCAACTATTATTAACATACTTTATGTGATAAAAGTGAATAAAATTAAATGTTACACTAATTTAAAACAAATTAGTCGTCAATATCTCATGTAGAAATAATTTATTGTACAATTTAGTATCGATTGAGTAAAAAGTACGAAACAATCACTTTATTTATTATTTATTTTTCATAGCTGCGTGAATACGGATACAACTTGTATCGATCTTTCTCCCTATAATCACCCATGCATTCATGTACTCACATGTATGCGTGTACTGCTACATGGATGCATCTACTGATACATGGGTCGATGTATTGATACATAGCTACATGTATTGCTACATATGGATATGTATGCACATATATATACACCCCC